TCGTACGAACTTGCCTTGTTACTGTTAAAACTCGGCCTAACATGTACGTTACGGATAACGTAAACGTTCAATCATACGACCCAATAAGTAATTGTTTAAAGTATTCGTTGCTTTGGTACATATTATTCTTATTTTAAAACACAATACTATATGTAAAAATATTAAAAGAATAATTTAGAGAGTATTTTAAGGCAACTAAGTTCAGGATTATGCAATATTGTTTTATAATAGCAAACAAATTGTAGCCAGCAGTATATTAACAAGTAAACCGAAAATAAAACTGTCTTTAGATATTGGAACCCCTTAACTTTTTTGACTTAAAAGTATTTTGTAGCAGGTAATTTGAGGTATATAATTTCGATTACGTTTTTTGTCCGAAAAACGACATTTTTGGAGACAAAACAAAAATAAACCTTTTTTTGGTTTTAACTTGCAGCCTAGTAATAATCACAAAATAATTAAAACATAATGCATGACAAAATAACCCACTTTCTTGAAAACTTAACTAGTTGAGAATAAATTAATTTGAAATTATATTTGTTGCATTATTATTATTATTATTCCATATATGATTTTTTATTGTACGTTTAATCAAATCCGCCTTTCGGATATTTTTAGCGAAATAAATTATTATTTTTCCAGTTTAAAATAGCTACCGTAACCCAAGTAAACAGGATACTGCCTACGCATGATTTAGATTTAAATACATTTTTCATTAATAAAAATAATCGAATAAATGATAAAGTTCGTAAAAGTAATACGAAGAAGGCGGAGTTGCAACAAAAATTTTAAGAAAATGCTAGACGACGCAACCAGGTCTGGATTGCATGCGCCGAATTTTTACCTGATAAAAAAACTATCACAGGAATGTCCAATCAGGATCAAAATCTGGTATTAATTCAGATAAAGACGTGATATAAAGATGGTTACAGATTACTTAGCTATATGCAGCTATTTTTTTAAAATCTCTTTTTCTTTTGACTCGAAATCTTTGTCTTGCAGTCCCCTTTCATTTACCAATGCTCTTTTTTTGTTGCTCTAATTCGCACATCCGATCAAATAGTGCCCCACACGACGCCTTATTAAATAAACATGGATTTTCAAGTCTCGATATAAGGCGAAAATATTTTTCTGTAATTATGCTGCATAAGGTCATAAGCAATCAAATAAACTGCGAATGTCTATTACATATGCTTAACTTAAAAGTTTCACGTCTAGCCTCAAGATACACTGACTCATTTTACTTACCAACACCTCGTACTAATATTTTAATGAACTCACCGTTGTAAAATATGTGTAATAATTATAATCAGATAAGTCAGGAATTGGATATATTCCACATTAGTATTCAGGATATCAAAAGGCATTATTTAGGATAACCATCATTGTATTTTATTTCCTATAATATTTTTAATTTTTGTACGTTTCGTCTAAATATTTTTGTCATATTTCCTATTCTGTAATTGGGTATTACTTGTAGAATAGTGTATTTAATAAATAAATAGTAACTTGAAAAATTTGGGTTTTGAGTTTAATAGATAAAAGTGCTTAAAATTAAATGGTGCATCCTTTCAAATGGTCATATCTGTAACTCCACATATTCGTCACTAGATGATAGATGTCACGGTTTATCACTGAGACCAGTTTGTTCTTTAGTGTTCTCAGAACACTAATTATCAGTGTGAAATTTAGTAATTTACTTTTTTCAAGTTATAACTCTATTTTATCGGAGGTGCAATATAATCTCTATTTATTTCCCTCTAACGCCTGTCTGTCCTATCTCCATTCATTGCATTATTGGAACAGGATGTTCTCTATCATATCCACCATCAAAAGTACGTACATTTTGGGTTCTATTCAGATATTCCTTAAACCAGTCGTGGTTCGTTAGAACATAAGTTATAACAGAAGATGAGAATTTTCATTTCCGGATATAGTCTTGTTTTGAACTCACATATTTCTTTAACCAACAACTCTTTGGGTATTTTATACGGATTGCTTATAATTTTTTCTAAATTTACGTTTGCTTTAGATATAGGTACCGAAATTAAGACTTATTATAAATGAAGAAGCGTATTTTTAAGACTTATTTGAATTTTCTAGTGATTAAACGTATTAAAGAATTCTGAAACGATTAAGTGTACTTTTTAGTTAAGAAGTTATAATTTTTAACAAACTTTAAAGCGATAATTCTTTACTACGTTTTCCGATTTTTATGATTATTTTTTTGTTACCTCAGGGATGATCCCATATAAATTTGGTCAAAATCTAATATAATAGGTTCCATGAAAACCTAATTAATCTCTTCATTTTTTTATGTATTTTTAACGATAATTCTTCACATTTGATTTCTATGAATCTTTTTTTGTTAGAAAGGGGATACCTCATATACAATTAATCAAGGTCTGATGATTTATGAGTAAATCAAAAATCTCAATTTTTGAGGGCACCTGCTCGATTTTGAAGTCGGTTTTTTAAAATTACTTTTACTTTTATTATCATAACTGATTAAAAAAAATATATATTTATATTTTTAGAGTTATATGTTTCTATCCTGCACAGAAACTGTGATATATGGCTAATAGAGAAATAAAATTGCTTTATAAAATTATTTCCTGGACAAACATTGATCTTTACCCATTAATCGGTCTTTCGGAATACTTAGATGCGACATTTTTCAAAATTGAGTACCTTTATTAACAGATAGAGCACTAAAACTGTGGTCTATACTTTTTGGCTCTAAATTTTCGATATTGTAATTAATCTTTTCATATTAAATTGTTATTTATTTTTCTTTTAAGCTCGATTAGATTGTTTAGAATTCAAATCTGTCAATAACATAATTTGCCAAATAAAGTCACACGCGGTATTTTTCTGCATTATAATGCACTTTTATCTTTAAACACATGTAGTAGTTTTGCGTAGAAATGCTTCAACAAAATAATGCGTGGTTTTAAATACATCTATTTTATAATTAATTTGTGTATACCAATTTGGCGCTAATATATCTATTTTAACACCAGAAAATTTTCAAATTTCTACGTCGAACTGTTTGATAAACAGATGTGTAAATGTATAGTGTATACAGTGTGGTCTATATGTGTGGAATAAATACATTATTTGTATTCAAAAGCAGCGTCCTCGTAGACTAGGCCATAAGCCGTACCTGCAATGTGTCCTACTACCTTAACTACTACTTAAAGAGGTACAAGCTACAAGAATCCCAAAAAGGTACACCATAGCGAAGGTGAGATTCGAATAAAGAAAAGTAGATTATTAATGCAGTAGAAGAGGTCAGCTCATTTGAAACCGATTTAATTGCAAAAATGCAGAGGATAATTTGTTTGCTAAAGTACATGAGTAGACCAAAGAAATCATCTATATAAAGACCTAAGAACTTAATTGAATTTACCGTTAGGATCGGTTTGTTGTTTGTAGTTAAAGGTTGTAAAGTACCTTTGTAAGACAATGCTACAGTTTTACTGGTATTGAAATAAAGCCCATTCAAATCAGACCAGGACTTAAAACAATTACTAGATCTTTGCTTATGATGTCTGCCTGTCATAATTATTCCAGATTGCACTCGTTTCATCGGCAAATAAAGTAATTCTACCCCTTTATTCTTAAGTCTGTGATATTGTTGATGAATAATAAAATTTACTTTAATGCCCAAAGCTGAACATATGGTCACGTGATTCTACGCGTCCGCATTAAATGAGTATATACTACAAACGATAAGCGGGAGTTACAGTATAATAATGTTCTATGTATTATAGTTCTTCGTTCGTCTAATAAACCTTCTGCCAATAACATGACAGTTTTTTCAGGAACATGAGTTACAGAATCCCTTGATTTACCAAAAGAAACCATCATATTCCAAGTTTACCCTTTGTTTGTACATATATTGTAGATCTTGATAACATATTTGGCTGCTTTGTTTTTAATGTACTGCGCTAAGGTACCAAAGACTCATGCACGCAGATTTTTTCTGATAATTCTGAATGAATTTACCTATCAATACCCTTACTTTATAAAGTTAGTCAGTAGAATTATCGGTTTTTGGGCATTACTGTTTAAGCTAAAGGAACGCTGGAAAGTTTATGCGTCCTCCACTAATCTTTTATTGCGGGTAATTTCACTAAGCTCATACAACCAACAAGAGACAGAAATCTAGCAAAGCTGCAAGCTTAAATACTTGCGCATCCACATCAAGTGCTGGATCCAACAGGTCAAAAAATATGCTGGATGAGGGAACCAGCAATTGTAATCCCTAGTGGGAACCACCAGTTCCTCGAATGTATAATAATAATAATAATACTCTCCCTAATTCACCCCCTTACGAGTGAATTTCAACCCCTGAAGTCGACTGAACGACTTGTGTAGGGGAAGGGACGGATATTATTATTATTATTATTTGCCGTGGTGCTCCGGGGCGACTTAAGGATGATTGATGGTGCCATTTGACTTACAGGTGAGGAAAACCCGGAAAACCTCACCCACCATCATCGAGACGATAATGTATGGCGATTTTATAATCTGCATGTCATAGAAATTGAATTTCTATTGTTTTAATATTCGTGTTATAAATATATATGCAGTCTTATTTTGAAACAAGAGTGGTACTGCATCAGTTTCTCATTGGGGATCTAAGAAACCATTATTTAGCTCTCAATGACAATCGTATACCATATGGTTTTTTTTTTAAATTAGTTCTAGGTCGACTTTGTTTCGAAAGAACCTTGTAAAAGTTTATTTTAAGTTAAAAATATAAGTGATGACAATTTGAATTCTCACGTGTCTCAAATTTCAGCTCAGAAACGTCACAAAACAAAACAAAAATTGTTTGTCTTTTCCACTTCTCTCTATATACTCTATACTTATACACTGACCGAGTACAAGGACTTGCGTGCTTGCGCCAGAAATAGACAAAGTGATCTCCTCGAACTAACGTGCCAAACGGTGAATTTAAAAGCTGATTCTACGTCTAATTAACAAGAGTTATGAGCTTTGTGAAAAATATTTTCGGTGTAGGTGATAACAAAGAAAGTGAACAGGAAGATGACACTAGTGAAGAAATTTCGTCGTCTTCGGATACTGGGTTCTTAAGTAATCTAAACAGTAATAGTGATTTGGATAGTAGTTTGGGATCGAATGGCACCGGAGATCCCGATTGTTCGACTATATCGAATTTTTTCGGTTATTGGTAAGAGTCTAGTTTTATTATTTATTGGATATTTATTTGAAGTGGATCTCATTACTAGATTTAAATTCGTAAATTGCGTTCAGTGCTCCAGTTAAAGTATGTTTTATTAGATATGAATTCTTATTCTGTTCCGTCTAACATTATTTTGGGATGATACGTGCTAATATTATATTTTAATGTGCTCTTATATATTCGTATGAATAAATATATTATAATTATATAAAAGGAATGCAGGATCTTCTATATTTAAAGTTTTATTTGAAAAAAGATAAACATCCTGTTTAAAAAAAAACATTGAAACATCCAAAACGTGTTTTTTATATACCTTAGTATTTTCCACAATACAGAGTGTCAATTTAAAAAGTTCCTATTGATAATATCTCCTAATAATAATAAAGAATATCAAAAATTGCTCTTTATTAATAGGGGGGACACTTTTCTATCATATTTTCTACGTCATTTTTCTCTCTTCTATCACACTAATCAATACAATTTAAATAAGAAAAGTACAAATTATATACTCTATTGATTTTAGTGCAATCTTAACAACTGTTGCGTATTCTAAAATGTAACACTTCATTTTAAAGCTAATTTTATTAGTAATTTAATGCAAAACATAATTTAATGAAACATAACTTAAATAAGCATAAGGATGTTGCTATTAATATTGATATTAAATCAATTTTACTTTAATCGCAATCAATTAACAATCAAAAACATTTTATAATAAGTATGTTTTTTATCCCGTTAGAGGGCGCTAAAGTATAAAGTACAGTATGTACGCTATACTTTTTATATACAGTCTGTTCGCTATACTTACGCGGGTTTCGGATTAACAAAATTATACAAATTAGTCATTGACAACCAGTTCCAATAAGCCTCTTCCCAAGAAATTAGGTAAAATTGCCCTAATGGTCAGATTTAAATTAAAATAACAGGGTAGGTACTAAATTTGTTACAAATATTGCAGTTGAATTGATTCTTTGCAAGTGTTGACATTGTATGTATATTGTAAATTTAGTGGAAATATTAAAAATGCCTAAACGTGCGTTAGATGTAGATAGTCTAATTTGTAGTGTACATAAGTATTTTACGGATGAAAAAGAAAATGGCGGTCTTTTAAAATCGGTAATGTTTGTACAACAACGTGTATGCGATGCTCTAGGAAATATTAGTTGGTGTGGTTTTGATGACTCTTGTTATGTTCTTTGAATTGGTTTTGATTTGCGGATAGCTGTCAATTTTTAGGTTTTTGGTACTCAGACAACTGCACTGTACGCTGTCATAGGTCTTATAATGGCCATGTCTCAGGGGGAGAGACTCAAGTGTGTCCCACGGTTCGACGGTATTGTTCATAACCAATGTATTCTTTTTTTACTCCGTTTTCTAGATATGTATTCCATATTAACTTGTCAAATGTGAGACCCAGGTACTTCCCTTTTGTTCCAAGATTTAGTTTTTTGTTTAGAGGTTTTAAAAAAGAAACATTGATATGTTGATCGCTTGAATTAGGATACAAACAATCTCGTGTTGATGTTTAACCTTTAGGATTTCATGGATATGCCAGCGGAGATTGCAATATTTACTGTTAGTGAATTTTAGGTATGCAAGGCTGACATACATGATTTATTTTATGTTTGTATTAAAAAACCGTTAAAAAATTGATTATGGATCAATAGAAATACAAACAAAAAAAATAATTAAACAATGTTAAAGTAAAAATAAATTCTAGCAATTGTTCTTATCAAATATTACTCGAGGTAAAATTAAAAACTGTAAAAACATCTAGTGGAAACTTAAATATTTAGTTCATTAAAATTATTATTATTATTAGATACTGGATGTGCTAATGCATGCATTTAATTCTAATGGTGTTTAGCGACTTAAGACGATAAAAATAGATAATAGACACACAATACATTCTTATTTATGTACCGCAATTGCAGTATCTAGGTTTCGTTTCATATTTTTTAATTGAAAATTATTTGCGTGAAGTTTTTCGAAATACCAAACGAAGATATTTATTATTGATATAGATTTATTTTTGTTTCTATTGTATTTTTTGTAAATCATTAATAACGTTAGGTTAGGTTGGAAATGAGTGGGATGATTACATTGCGACCCAGATGTAGCTCATTCCACGTCTTTTGATGAAGGTCATGGTTGAGTTAATGTCAATAAGCAAAGTTTATCCATTTTATAATAAAATTATAAAAACCATAAACAATAAAATTGTTCATAGAGTCGCATCCCAGTCTTATTGTACAGGAATTCTACCCCACTCTTCATTGAGTTAGATGAGACATATTTAAAATTAATATCCTTTGAGGGGCAACTGTTCTTAGTGGCGATCACATTCCTTCAAGAAGAGGATGAGGGATATTAGGCTCAGAGCGTAACGACAAGAAAGAACCAGATATAACGTTTCACAGGAAAATAATAAAAATCATTTGTACTTAATATTTTTTAATTTATTTGGTTTATTATACAACTTAATATTTATATATTGTACATATCTCAGTCCAGAGTAATAAGTTACCTACCCGCCAAGTTTGTTTACTTTTCAATTAATGATATTAAAATTGCCAAACATGCAATTTTTTCCATTAATTAAAAAAAATTGTCACTTTCTTTTTGTGATTTTTAACTATGCATTGACTTTGTTGTAAAATGGAGAGGATAGTGATCAACTGAGCTGATGTTATTCCTCGTGCAATCATGGGACTGTACCTTATTTAGTATCGGTTTCTTCTTTAACGGTGTAATCAGTAATATAATTTTACAGTGATGCACAATATAATATACCATTGTAACAAACTAATTATTATATATAAACAGGAGTAAAAAGCTGTGGTAAGGCAGAAATGCTTAGCACCAAAATAATGGCGGCTAATCGATAAAATCGGCACAGAATACTAGAAGTGCTCTATGTATTTGTTAGGCATCCCCTCTGTTTCCTTGTCTAAGATTTTTACTATGTGACTAATATGTCTAAATCGTTTTTTATTACATCTAATTCTCAATCACGTGATCAAAAATTCACACATCTTGAATGTATCCGATGTGATATGTACAAACGCAGCAAGAGGTCAGGGCCGACTAGATGGGGGGTAGCCGGGACTGATTCCCGGGGCCCGGACTCAAATGGGGGCCCGGCAGTGCTATAAGGGGGGCCCGAGAACTGGATTTTCTTTAGAAAAAGTAACTCAAGTAGGGGAGAAAAAAGTTTTTTGGGTTGAGGCCTTTTTTTTTTTGAGAAAAAGGTATTCAAAAGTAGTAGGAGAAGAAAAGTTTTTGTGTCTGCCCGATCTAGAGAATTGTCCTGGGGGCCGGCCTGGCTCTCGGCGGCCCTGCAAGAGTTTGATGCCTACCTGTCAAAAAGATCATCGCGTGGCTCCAACAAGTTTGAATGAAGAACATTTTATATTTATTTTTATGTCGTTTATTTTTAAACCACTATGAAATTTTCGTCGCTTCTATGTAGTAAACTTATAACTAAGTCAACTTTTACGTCAACCAAAACTATTTTTGGCTTTCTCAAAAGTGCGAAACTATAGGAAACTAGTTTTAACAATTTCCCACTTTTTGTGACGCACTTTATGCATCATGCGCTTCCGAGATATTCAACATTTCGTAATACCTGCTTAAAAATTTATTAATAGTATCCAATCTTTGAAGTTTTCAAGTGGCATATTTTCTCATATTGAAACAGTTTACTACGCGAATGTGGATATGTTAGGTTAAGGTGATTTTGGTGGTTTGTTATATAAAAATTGTACAGCTTAATTTAAGAGGTGTCAATGAAACGTACTTAATTAGATCTTTAATTATGTTGCCTGGATGGTTAACAAGGTACATACACACTTTATAAAACAGATGTTTTAAAATAATAAATATTATAGTTTGTATACCTTGTTCTTCCAAAAAAAAAATATAAAAAATAATATTAATTGGTTTTTATTTTATACTACATGTTTAATTCCAGGTAATATATACTTTTTCAAGTATAGTCGAAGTTTTCTATTCTAGATTTTTTGACATTTTTTCTGCAATGCAAGTTTTTATTTTGCAAAACTTTTCTAATGCCTAATTCGACATTTTTCACCCACGCTTTGGCTTTTCTACTCTTTTTTTTTTCCCATTCACAATTATTATTACTCATCCTACATGTGTACCTACAGAAACTCAGTTTGACCTGTTTTATTTTATTGTATATCAAAACTACTTTTGTCATGTTTTTTACTTTTTTAACAACTAGGAATTTTGAATCCTATTTTCGTAAAAACAATCAATAAAGACATTTAGAAGGTAACTGGTATTATTCGCGCTCATAAGCAGATAATAGAATTACAAATGATTACAACGTCGCCACACATATCATGTTTAGATCTTCGGTAGGGTAGCAGAAATACGACGAATTAAAGTGACCCAGTCCTTTTGGTTCTTGGAGGCAAACATTAAAACATATTGGCTTATGGTTCCAACGGAATGCTATTCCATAGAGACACCATGTCTCGCTATGACATTACGCTATTTCGCGCCTCTTTGAAAAATAGTACATGACGTCCATCAAGTATTTATTTTCCCTCTCTGTTAAGGGAATGGTCCAAAGACATCTATAGCGATTCGTTCGAAAGGCTTTCCAGAAAGGTACTATGCCTTTTTACCTCGACTTCTTGTTTCAAGCCCTTTTCTACCATTGCATTAATCACATTTCTTACACCAATCTTTTACATCCCGTCGGTAATCGACCCGAACTCGTGCCAGTGTTCTTTTAGTACCAAAATGTTCTTCTGAACGGCTGCTATGAAACTTCTCAAACACACTTCTGACATGTCCAATACCCTTTTATAGCTCCACAATATTTGGCTATCTGTTACTCCATTCAACGCGACGTATTTTCGTTGCAGCACTTCTTTCAGTAAAACACCTTTTCTGAGCATTACGTTTTCGCCCATCATGTTTCACTCCATAAAGTTTTCTATATGAGTTTCAAGCTGGAATACTATTATGGTCTCTTTAAACTTTCTTTGTAAATGTTTTTTGTAAGATCCAGTACATCAAATATAATTAAAAATCTACATTTCCTTATTTATACATTAAGAAATCCATGTTTGGCAAATCTTATAGGATGAGCTATTTATTAGTCATAAATTAAAAATGCCTTTTTTTCAATCTGCGTCTACTGTCTGTCTACAAACGACGTGTACCTTTAGTTACAGTAAACGCCAAATTTAAAGAACCAAGGACGCGCATTTATAATGCTACGAACACGCCTACCGATGAATATAATTGGTAGCTTACCTAGAAAGTTGTAAACCAGGGGCGCGGTATTTTGAGGCATAAAATAAATGGAAAATAGTGAATAATGCTCAATGTTATTATTAGTACATAATTCTATAGTCAATTTTTGTTAAAACCAATTTCCCCCCATCGTAAACTATAATAAGTCTTTGGCCTTTAGAAATAACAGAAAACAAACCTTTTGTTGAATCGTCTGTCCAATTCTTGTAAGAAGTATGTCTGCTGTGTATATATGTTTCATCTAAATAAACGATTGGTCTATTTTGACTTCTAAAATATTTTATCTGTCTCAAATATTTTACTCTTGGTTCTTATTTTCATTTTTTTCCATCATTATATTATAATCCAACCATTAACTAAAAACAACGTTTATTGATATAGAGAAGTTAATTAACATAAAACATTACAACAGTAACATTGATTCAATTTTTTGCTCTCTTGGGGTGGGAAGGACCTTCATCCTCGTCTTCGTTTTCATCTGCTTGTCTTCCTCCCACCGTGGGAGCAGTAAAACAGCATTCCCTCCGAAACTTCCACCAAGTTCAACTGTGGCTGGGAAATAATCTGCCTCCTCAGATGTATGGGTGAAAGATTGAGAACAACTGCCTGGTCCCAGTGCACAGTGAGTTAGCAGCTGTACCGGAGGACATCCTGAAAATGATTTTCTGCCGATGAGCGAAAGACTGTGCCAGTGCGAAGTGTGGATGCAAAAAAGCAAACCTCAAATGTTCACATGCCAAAATTGCCAGAGGAACTGCCTTCTAATGGGGGTCCGATGGAGAAGATATTGGAGATAAAGAAGATGAAAACGAAGACGAGAATGAAGGTCCTTCCCTCCCCAAGAGAGAAAGAAATTGATTCAATGTTACATACTGTTGCAATGTTTTATGATAATTCACGGTTCTATGTTAATAAACGTTATTTTTAGTTAATTGTTGTGATTTATAAAACCATCCCACTGTTTTAAAGTCACTCATACATGCATACAAGTATGCTATTGCCTTTAACTGAACGAATATATTTCATATCCATTCTAGGTAGTGAGAACACTGCAAAAAAATGGAATCCACCAATCACCCACCGTTTTTTGATCAACCGACTGCTATTATTTTTACAATTTTAAATAAGTGACAATTCTGTCAAAATAATTGTCAGTATATATTTTAGTTATTGAGATTAAATATACATTAAAATGGGTTATTCTTGTGTAGAATCGATAAATAATAGCATTTCTGTTTTTATTTCGTCTATAATTATAAATAATTTATTAATTTAAATAAAACTATATGAAGTCAATTTAATTACGAGTATTAACGCAACAAAATTAAAATATTAGGTGGTGGTGTGGTGAGCGTTCTTGCCTTCCACACTGAAGACTGGAGTGCGATTCTAGGATGGGGAAAATTTTTCTGTCTTTTTGTTTATTTTATTTTAAAAATTATTAAAAGTCATAAATTATTCTAAAATTATTTATTTTGTCTTAATAATCAATTATGATTATGATTATTTTGTGTTTTTCTCCACTTAAATTCGTAATTTTTTAAGGATTCTTCTTAATGAAGTTTCTGATATGTGGATATTTAAATCTTCCTTAATTTTATTATTTAACTTTTTAACAGTAACACGAGACTTTTCTGTTATATGAAAATCGTAAATTATTCTTCGAATGTCTCTGTAAAGGTGATCTTAATGCAATTCTAAAATGTAGATTTTGAACTCACTTTTGCAATAATTATTAACATTCTATCAATAGATAAAATATTGCATTGCACATTTTTTAAATTTCTATTCATTAAATCCAACAATTCGTCAATACTTACATTTTTTTTTTATTACAGGAAAAGTCTGGTTAACCAAGAAGCTAAATTTCAAAGTAAACTCAACGAACTTACAAAAGAACTAGCTTTTCGAGATGCCGAAGCGAACAAACTTAAATTCCAATTGGAAGAACTGCAACGAGATGCCTTTGCTAAATCTGCAGGAATGGACAGTAAGTACTAAAATAATTGCCAAAATCATTTTCAATAAATACCGTATATCATCACAGTTTTCTATTTCTAAAGAAAATATTCTTTTTCTTAAATATCTGGTAGCCGCATATACCTTTAAATAATTTAAAGAGTGTTTTATTAAGATTGTTTAACATACAAATATTTGTTAAGTACGAGGGTCATTCAATAAATAAAGAGACAACGTTTATAATTTTAAAACTATTCAATGAATGTGTACAATCTTTTCAGGGGTGTTAGTTGGCAACCTTGGGATATGCTCTGATCAGCTGTTTCATCATTTTATGTCAACATGACCTCAAAATTTTCAATTCACCATGGCAAGTCCACTAAAAGATTGCACCTTAGAAGAGCAGCGCTCAGTCATTAGATTTTTAGTCGCAGAAGGTGTAAAATCAAGTAAATTTTTTTCTAGAATGTTGATACAGTACGGTAAAAGTTGTATGAACCGTGCGAATTTTTACAAGTGATTTGAACGATTTAATAGTGGCCGAACAAGTGTAGGTGAAGTGATGCTGACCAGCGAACTATCAATAGCCAATACTACTCTGAGATGCTAGAACACAAAGTTAGATCAGCTATTTTACTTATTGAATGACCCTCGTATTTTTTTTAAATCCACTCTGTTAATATTCGATTTAAACCCAAGACCTCAGGATACTTTTAAGGTTAGCCACCCCTAGAAAAATATAAATCATAATACATCCTTGTTTTAGTATTTTTCAAAAAGATTTTAAATGTGTCCTATTATAACCGATAGCCTAATACGTATTATTTGTTGATATTAATTTTTATTCTAGGGGTTGAATCCGAGTTGAAGGAAGCGCAAAAAGAATGTGAAACAATTGGTAGGACTATAAGAAATTTAGAAAATGAACTTGAAAATCAAAAGAAAAGAAACATTTTATTAAATAGGGAATTAGAAGAAAAAACAGGTAATTACCTATTTGATATAAAGTTTTTACTTAGAACTTTCCTCGATATAGAAACTGTATAAAAAGGAGACCCCTAAACATTTAAATTTTAACAAGTTAAAAGGAAAACCACCAAAGCAAAAATTCTTTATTATCTTCTTTTCTGCAGCGATCTTCCTCTTGATCCCACCCGAACTCTTAAGGTACCATTTCGGTAGACGCGACAGACGACCGCCGACGCAACCGAGAAGTGTCGCTTCACATCTAAAATACATACAATTATATGAAACACATTTCGCACGGCGCGACACGAGAAGTGTAGCATCGCTTCATCGCTTGGAGGTGAATAGGTTGAAAATTTCTTTCGATCTAGGCAGTGTTGCCAGATTTTGGAACAGTATGGGTGAACAAAAAAACCGTAGATTTGAACAGTAGATTTTAATACAGGGGGAAATAATTAAAATTTGCGGTGTTGTAAATAAAAAAACAAGTATATAAGAAACGAAAAATAAACTTTTTTCGACCCAAATTAGAAGGTAAACAAAGAATAAAAACAAATAATAACATTTTTAATATATACTTAACGTACGGAAACAAAAAAAAAACAATGAAAAATAGTAGGTACCTACTTCTTTTAGATCAGTCTGAATCAGATAATTCAAAATCATAGTGTGCATGTTCTTTTTATGATGCCCTATTAATTCTTTGTTTCATTTTAAATAAAAACAATGATTTTCTTGGTTTTTTTTTATGGAGCCAACCTAGAGTAGTGGATGCTTATTACGCTGCTTTTACTGCAGAAAATTTACTCGAGAAAATATTCGTTAACCATTTGCTGAAGAATGAGGCAAACTTAATAAATTAAGAACAAAATTTGCTAGAAACAAAAACAGTGGATCTACGTGAAAACAGTAGGTCTGGCAACGCTGATCGTTCCCTCGAATGGTTATCCTGAAAGTGTCGCGCGACACTTCTCAAGCTTGCGAAATGTACGAAGCGTAACATTTATGCATCTGTCGTCCTATTCGACCTTGGGGTCGCTTAAGTGGTCGCTTGTCTCCTGACGCGCCTACCCAAATGGTACCTTTAATATAATTGACTGCTTTTAAAATAGTCAAGTTACACAAACCAAAAGGACGCTTTTTGTTGTTTCCATTTAAAAAATAGTGCGAGTGAACATTGGTCAGAGTATTATATCCTCTGTTTGTAAAAGACAACATTGCTCCTTGAAGTATCCAGTACAAAAACCAGTCGAGGTCCATTTTTTGCCAAAAATTAGTTATAATAATATGAAATACCCACAAAAAAAAAACATTATTAAATATTATTTCTCTTGAATATTTTGCCCTCACTCATAATTATTTTAATTTTAGAATCATTTAGTATATCAGAAAAAGACTACAAATCAAAAATAGACTACTTAGAAAATGTAATAAAAGAATTACGATTGCGAATTGAAGATTTAGAAAAGCAATTGTTAAATTTAAATGTAGAAAAATCGGAATTAATTAGGAGGCGAGAAGAAGCGATGAGCGAAAGAGATCTAGAAAAGGTGAAAATAGAAGAAATGTTAGACCAAGCGGAAAAGCAGAAGCAACAATTAGAAGAAAAATGGAAGAAGGATTTTGAAAATTTAAGGACCGTTAATATTTTAAGGGAACAAGAAATGTTAAGCGATTTTGAGTGGAAACTAAGAGACGTAGAGCAGACTTGTAAGAAAAAAATAGACGAAAAAGATGAAATTTTACAAATGTCATTACAGCATTCACAGAAAAAGGAAACAGAAGCTACGGAATTAACGAAAAAGGTAATAGTTAAACACGAAGCATATTTAAATTTACCAATATGTAAAACCTTAATTATATATGAAATTTTCTAAGAGATTTGGGCGATATTTCACAAACTGACAATATATTTACATGTTTTTCTTTCAATCTTAAATGTTTTCATGACTGGTTTCATAAATAATCTAATTTTGTTGGAAATTTCAGATGGACAACCTAATTTTACTAGAAAAAGAACTCAACGAATTAAAAAACAAAACGATGGATCAAAACAGCGTAATGAAAAATCTTATTGACGAACACGAACAAATGCAACAAAACGAAGAAACTCTGAAAGCCGAAGTTAAAAAATTAAGAAATCTAATAGAACTCGAAAAGGAAAATTTGCAACACATGCAAAGGATACATCATCAGGAAATTTTAGATAAAGAAAGGAAATTGCAGCAAACGCTTAACGAAAAACGCATCGAAATCGCAATGTACTGGGAGGAGCGATTATTGAGCGAAATATCTAGACTGAAATACGAATTAGAACAAATTTACAACGAAGAAAAATACTCGGAAATCGAAAGTGTCAGACGGAACAAAGACGAAGATTTTAAAAAGGCAGAAAAGCAATGGCAGCAGAAATTTACAGAATCTTCAAATGAGGTAAGACTATTTTTCTATATAATGTACTACATGCTTTTTTATTTTTATATTCCTTTTATTTATTTTTTTTTTTTTTGTTAGAGTATTGTTACTAGTCATTACTGACTAACCTACCATTTTAATATAATTATCTTATAACTAATTACTTATCTAAGAGGTCCCCATTGGGCTGTCTTAATTGTTTCTATAGGAAAGCATCACAAGTTGGCGTGACGATTTATTACACTGTTTTACACTAGCACTAACATTAACGTTCACTGCACTAGCTCAAATGGCTTTTTCCTTTTGAGCCTTCTGTTTAGTGTAGAGTTGTCCAGTAATTGCAGCGCTTCTTTGTTAACGTGGGAGTGGAGTCGACCATCATGTTTCGTAGCAAACCTCTTTATTTCTTCTTCGATTGTTGGCATCTTCAGGTCTCTATGAAGATAATCGTTTCGGAAGAACCAAGGTGCATCAACAATGCATCTTAGGACTTTATTTTGGAAAACTTGTGTCATGTTGATATTACTATTGCTGGCACATCTCCTTAGTTGAATGCCATAAATCCAGATTGGTTTTAGGATTTGTTTATAAATCAGCAGTTTGTTGTACACTGACAATTTGGATTTTCTTCCTAGGAGCTAATACATTTTTTTGAATTTAAGTTCAAGTTCTTTACGCTTTTTTTATATGCTCTTTCCATTTGTCTTACATCTAGGTTCATCCCTAGGTATTTGGCCGAATCGTGATGCGGAATAACGTCATTGTTTATTCTTATTTGTTTTTGTTCATTTGGTCGAAGAGTAAAATCAACATGCACTGATTTAGTTTGATTTATTTTTATTTTCCAGTTTTTTGTCCATCGATTGATTCTGTTGCAGGTTTCTTGAAGTTTTTCTGAGGTCTCTGTATTAGTTCCGCCAACTGCCAATATTACAGTGTCATCCGCAAATGTTGCTATTTTAACAGATTGTTGTTGAGGGATATCGCTGGTGTATAATAAGTAAAGAACCGGTCCTAGCACACTGCCTTGTGGGACACCTGCTTTAATTTCGGAGTATGCCTCGTCTTGCTTTACTCGAAACATTCTTCCCCGTTAAATATGATTGTAGAATGTCGACATATTGTCTAGGGAGAATTTTTTCAAGTTTCTGTATTAGGCCAGCGTGGCAAACCTTGTCAAATGCTTGGGCTACGTCAAGAAATATAGCTGAGCATATATATTTTTCTTCGTAAGCTTTTTCGATGATATCGGCTATCCTATGTACTTGATCTATTGCCGAGTGTTTGTTTCTAAAACTAAATTGGTGCGAAGGGATCAGATTTGTTTTTTCAATTATTGGTTTTAGTCGTTTTAGCAGTAGTTTTTCAAATAAATTAGATATTATCGGTAACAATGATATAGGTCTATATGACACTTCATTCAGAGGTTTTCCTGGCTTAGGAATTAGGATAACTTCAACCATTTTCCACGCATCAGGTATATATTTAAGGCGAAATGCTGCATTAATGAAGTATGTCAATTTAACAATAGCCTTCCGTGGTAGTTTCTTTAATATTTCTCCAGTTTCTGGGGCTTTCTGTGAGTTGATGTTTGTCTGAATTTCTTTCATAACTTCATTGGGAGTAACTAGCTTAATTTCAAGTTGTTCCATATTATGGATGGTCTCATTAGGAGTGTCTTGATTTTCATCTAATTGGAACGTCTTTTGTAGGTGGTCAGCGAAAATATCAACTTTTTGTTGTCTCTTGCCCATTTGTTATCTGCTATTCTGATTGAAAGACAGTGTTTACAAGAATTTTTCATCTTTTTAGTTGCCTTCCAAAGTGAATAATCAGTTTCTTTATCATCTATTAGCCCTACTAGGTATCTGTTGAAGGATTCTTCTTTGTAATTTAGAATTTCTCTTCTCAGTCTTTGGGTAGCCCTATTTAATGTATTTTTATCTTCTGGTGATCTAGTCATCTACCATTTCTTTCTTAGTTTTCTTTTTTCTGTTACCAGTTCTCTTATCTTGACAGGATAGTTTTTTCCAGCTGTTAATCTTCTTACTTTTGGTGTGTTCCTCCATGCAGCTTGCTGGATTTCAACTATAAACCTTTCCAGTTCTTCATCTAGTTGTTTTTTTGTTTCTAGTCCTCTTGAACACCTTCCCAATTAGTTTTCCGATTTGCTAGGGTCGGTTTGGCTTCTCTTTGGTCTGAATTCATATCAAAGTTTTCTTCTACTTGCGTATAGTTTGGTGAAATTTTCCTCAGAATAAAGAAATCCAAAAGGTCCGGAATCTTATTTGGGTCGTTGTGCCAATAGGTGGGTTTTTCAGAAGATTGATATGTACAACCAAGTTCTAATGCAGCTCGGTGCAATTCTTTTCCTTTGACTGTGGTTAATCTTGAACCCCAGGCGCTCGATTCTCGAGTTTATTGGAAAATTTTCCCATGGGAAAAGATTCCACTACATATATTCCCATGGTAATAGGTCATGCTATTGTCGAACTTGTCGGAATAGACATTCCGATGGAAACAGTAATTTCACGTATGTCTGAATTAGGTTCACGAACATTTCGAAACGACCAATAACATTAAAGATATTTTAAAATTTATTGTTGGCATTATTGGTACCTGCCCCCGCTCCGGGGCAGGTGTCATTCCGAGCAATGACCGAGGAACAAGTGAAAATATTCGATTATGTATAATTAAAATTTGTTGAATTATTAGCTTTTCTTTTTACATGTTGAAAAAAGAAAAAGTAGCTTTTGTACAGAAGAACGACGACGCGACACTGACAAGTTACGGAGTAATGTTAATAAACATACATCCTCACCTATCGACAGTCGAATATATGATATTCTACATTTATAGGTGTTTCTCCTTCTTTTATTTTTCTTTTGCTGTATAAGATATTTTTTTTTGTTAACACATTTAATTTAAACCGCCCCTGCTTAGTCAGATTTTGAAGGACAACATAAAGTATTAAAATAGTCAATTTATACTTAACGATAATTATATATAAATTTGAATTGTAGGTGCAAAATCTAAAAAAGGCCATTCAAGAAAGAGAACAATACTACAAAGATGAAATAGTGAAACAACAGAGCATAACGGATCAGGATATATTCGAACTAAGAAGACTTATGGACAAACTAGATATGTCACATCATGACAAATATGAAAAATTAGCCCAGGAACACGAAACCGAATTAGGTAAAATCTAATAAACATTAACATAATAAGTAAATTTGAATTAAAAGTGATGTTTGTCTATTTAATATAATAATACTCTCCATATAATTCACCCTCTTACAAGTGAACACCTGAAGCACTGAAAGCAACGACATGTAATACTTTAATAACTTCTAGAGAATCTAAGACTTGACTGTAACAAAGAAATAGAAAAGCTAGAAATCTACTGGAAAGAAGAAGTTGAGCTTCTCAATGCTAAAATTGCTTCAATGAAAGAACAAATGGAAACCGAAGCACAAGAAAGATTAAAAGTTCTGATACAGAGTCATCAAAGCGAATTAGGTAAACATAATGTATTACTAAGGCAACCGTTGCGGTTTTTAAAGAATAATATATAAGCTTTTTGTGATTGTATGTCCAACTCATCAACTCTGCCCCCATAGCAATAACAAAATTTAATCTATTCATTAGCTGTAATTATTGAAAATATTATAAATAGATGTATTCTAGAGATATGATGATCTAAAACAGTAGTTTAAATTTCCATCTCGCTTAAACCACAGAAATAAAGATTACAACATTAAAAATCAACAAGTAGCAATGAGGCCCAGGGTTAAGTCCAGTCCTGTCTAAATTTTTTTACCTAAAATTGGACATCTGCCCGTGAGTTATGATATGGCAACCATGTAAACCTAGTTATTTGACCTGGTCAATGATGTAGATAGTTATATAGACTGATCATATTATATGCATCATTGACCCTGTTAAAGACTACAGGGTTCTCATATTTCATAGCCTGTCATTACCTGCGGGCAGCATTTTGACAATAATTAAATAGGTGCAAAAGGTAAAAATTTTTAAAGGCTTTTAGTATTAATTTTCACCTGACGGTGTCTATTTGGTTGATGAAAAGTATGTGGATATAAAATTTGGTATAAATGTTTTTTGTTACTCATGAAGGTTCCATTTCATTTTAGTATATCAGCCATTAATCACAAATGCATCTTAGATTTTCTAGGAGGGTTACACACGTTATGTTTCTGTTAAAACAAGTTTTTGGATGTATGTGCAAATAACAATGTTCCCAATGAATCTAATAATCTAAAAATGTCTGTCGTTTCTTCCATTTCTATGGAATGTAGAGGTAAAGGGAATTATCTGCTTACAGAAAGTGCTCGAATTTATGAAATTACTATGTTTTTATATAGATTGCTCACGCATATGTAAATAATACACTTTTTGATTGTTTAGTTATTAATGTAGTACTTGTATGGCAATGGTAATTTTATTTTTATTGACTAGACTATTTATTGTTCTTTTTGAAATTAAATATTTAAGGAATTATGTTTCAATGAAAATAAAAATAGTTTTTTTAAATTTTTATGTATTTGTAATTAAAGGATCGTTCAAAATATCACCGTATCCAAATAAAATTTTGTTAAATAGCAATTTTTACGAACCTCTCTTCATAATTAGTTAAAAAAATTGTAGAAATTTTTAATTTTACAATTAATTATTTATAAATGTTCTTCAATTTTCTAATAATTAATAAAATGACATGTATCCATATCTCTTTATTACTTAAGATTGAAATCGGCTTCTCGATTTACACTTGGATGAGCAATCTATATAACTATTATATATATATCATTGGATCACAGGCATTTATTACACGAGCGCCACTGTGCCCACTTTCTGAAACCTTTTTGATGTAAGTTTTTTGAAATGAACTAAACAACCATATTAGATTATTTCCTCCATATTTCATTTCTTATAAACAAATCGTATATTAACCATTGCAACGATCTGTCAAAATGCTGCCAGTTGGTTATATGGCAACATTGTGGGGCTGTTGGCTTTGACAGGGTCAATCATATGTATTTAGTTATATAGATTGTTCAAAACGGTAGCTTTGCGAGCGACCATATTTCCTTGCAAGTACTCATTAATCAAAATCAGTTTAGCAAAAATGTGTTTTAAAACCAATTTTCAGCCTTTGAATATAGTAAAAAACATAATTACCCACATTTTTATTTCAAGATTATGTATATTTTAAAACATGAATGCTCAATCTATATGACTATCTGTATCATTGATTCTGTCAAATCACCAAGCCCACAGGGTTGCCATATCATATATCATAACCCGGCGGCAATCATTTTGTTTGAAATGCCTAATTTTTGTGTTGTGCTAAGATTTATTTTAACAATGAATATTACCCTGTACTTTGATTTTTTTATTTAGAAGAACAATGGGAGAATCTTATTCACCAAAAAAAAGAAGCTATACAATTTTTAGAAGAAAAATACATCGCCAAATGTCAGCAACTTGAAGAACAACTCGAACTTCAACAAAGATCTCATAATGGACGAGAAGTGGAACTTTTAAAGACTGTAGACTCGTTGAAAAATGAATTAGAAAGTAAAGAATCGATAATAGAGGACATGCAAAGCAATTTGGAAACATTGGAAGGTGGCATCCAGGTTCTGAATCAAGAAGTTGCACAGCAAAATGAAATGCTTTTAAAAGAGAAAAGGGACAGCGAACAAAGAGCAAGGTATGAAATTTTACCCAATAAATCGTTTATAATGTATAGGGTTGATACTTATTTATGTAAATGTGAGAAAAAGTAGAAAATGCAACTACTTTTTTCTAAAATGTGAACTTAAATGGCAAAGCTATTATCGCCATCTGTAGGCGACTCTACAAATAAGAAACAGTTAATAGATTTCTGTGTTAATATGTTCCTTGTTTCGGTAATTCGGCTGTAGATGATGCCACAAGTACAAGATTCGGGACTCCGCCATTTTATGTCCACGTTTTGGATGAAAAATTGCTTCGATTTTTTCGTTTGTTTTTTTCTAACTATACATCAAATTACTTAACTATTAAAAAATGTTTTCTTGAAAACCAAAAATAAGGCTATACTTTGTTTATTTTTTGAAGAAGGATTTTCGATTTTGTTTAAAATATGCATACAGATAGAGAAAACCTCGTATATCCCAATAATGAAATCAGTTCTTTGATTTCTCAAGCTGTTTTCGAGTTATGATCAAAATGGAAACTCTGCTACATTCCAAAATTTCTCTCGTTTTCTTTTATATGTACCTGAATATTCATGAAAATTGGTTTTTATCACAAAAAAATAAAGCTATATCCTTTATTGTTTATTTTTTGAAAAACAATAAAGCAATTAGATAATGGCTTCGTTGAAAATTGACAAAAAAATTGTACTACATGCTTTTTAGTCTTAAAACACTCTACAAATTAACTAGTAGGGTCCTTTAGAATCTTTAAATCAACAATAAACTCACAAATTTTTCGTGATTCACAACAACAGTCAAACATTAAAGACAATGTCGGATTTACAAACTTGGTTTGGTTGCTAAAATACAACTGTTCGCCAGTTTTAATGGGTCGTGGAGAAAGAAAGTTCAGTTTGTTACTCTGTTGGAATGAAAATTCCCTATTCGCTGCGTTCGTTTTCGAAATTTTCCAATCTTATCGGATTTTCATTCATCCAACCTTGTTGCAAAGAATATACTATTAACAAAACTGTCTATTTTGTAGATGCTATGAATCAAAAATAGCTAAAATTCAAGAAAAAAATGAAAAAGAACAAGAAGCGTACAGACTGAAATTTATAAATTCGCAGAAAACTCACCAACAAACCATGGATCACTTTCAGAGGAAGTACAACTGTTTAACAAAATTGTAAGTATAAACAACTATTTAATGGATATTAAAAATAAGAAAATTCAAGAATAAATTCCTAAACAGCCGAAAGTAAAAATAAATCGGAGAAAAATTTAAAAAATCTGCAGACTCCTGTAGGATTTGAACCATCAGTTATCTCTGCCTTGTCAGGCTATTGTTTTAACTGTTTAACCATAGGGGCACTTGACGTTCTGCAATAGAGAAATTAATTTAATATGAAAGATTAAAATCCAACTCGAACACGCAAATTATTGTTACGTTCATTTATTTCAAAGAATTTAATAATTCTGATTCATATTCACTAAATAAACTAACTTTTTTATAACTAATTAATTTGTAATCAAAAGTACACTCATTTATATTTACTCAACAATATTTATCTCTTAAAACTCACCAAGCAACGGCAACGAATCAATTTATATACAAAAATGTTACGTCCTAGACCAATTTAGTCCTGTCTCGAAGAATCTCAATGCTCTATTTGTTCTTGAAACCCTCTACGAGTCGGCCCTTTCGGTCGGCCCGCGTGCAAAATAACTTTCCAGTTACTTCTTGAGCGGAACAGAGGCGTACAGCTTAAACGGCGATAACGTAAATAAAAATCAGGGCTGGACAATGGTTCCCATGACGTTATTTTAATTTTTTCTTTAAGAATTAGAACAGAATTGTCGGAGGACCGTCACGATTGCATGCACTAATCCTGCCTTTGTCTGTAAATATATTGAGTTTTCATTTGAAGGAAAAAGGACCCTAATAGATAGTAAGTTTAATTTATTTATTTCCCAACGTGATCATTTTAGCAGCTCTAGAAACTGCCGGCTCATGCCTTCAATTATGTGTAAGTGTATATTCAAGAATGTGTCCGATGGGTGCTTTTAAAATTTTATCTGGTTCTGGATAATGTACCCCGAATTGCGATTCCCGTTCCCATTTAAGGTTCCGGTAGTGGCATAGGATGTGAAAAGAAGTTAACTGAGAGATTTAGATGTCTTCTAAAACCGCAGTGTCTGATAAAGAGGGCTATTACAGTCTTAAATTCTTACTTGGCAATTGGTTTTGTCTCTATGAATATTTTAGCCTGCTTAAGTCCAGATAATTCCAATCAGACCTCTATAACGTTCTCTATATTTATCTTTTCCTTTAATAACCTTCTTGACATTTGGATTAGATCCAATTAGAATGTCCTTAACCCCATTCCTATCTAGTAAAAACAATATTTTTTTTTGTAGATTTGAAGAAGTAAGACAGCGGTACGAACGAAGAGAATCACGGCAAGAAGATATAAATATCATATCAGACTTGAAGCAAATCATCAGCGAACAAGAAAAGGATCTTAACTGTCTAAACGAGGAAAAAAGATACTTCCAAATGAAATTAATGGCTTTGGAAAGTCGTCTAGAAAATAGAGCTTCGTCCGAAGAATCTTTAAAAGACGATCCACCGTTTTCAGATTGTAACGAGGTTTTCGCCGCGGAAACCACAAATCATTCACCAAATGTGATTTGTATTCCTCCTACAATAGAAGAAGGCGAGGAATAACATGGTTACAAACAAAAAAGGCAAATTTAGACAAAAATATTTGTTAAGTTTTAAATACGTTTTTTTACTATTTATAAATCATAAAAAAAATTTTTTACAATCTAAGGATACCTAATAATTGAATAATTTTAATATTGTCTTTAAAATTTAATTCAAAAAATAAACTTTTTGTTTTTTTTATTTTTTGAAGTGAGACTACACAAATTAAGGTGCATTTGTGAACATGTTTCGTTATATCCACAATTAGGCATTCCTCTTATACATTTCGAATAAAAAATAACGTCCAAGTTGGAAGATATTAAGGTATTTTTCGCGGCATAGACCAACATGAACGTTTATGATAGATTATACTATTTAGACATTTATAGACATTTAAATAACATAATAATCTATCATAAACGTTCATGTTGGTTTATGCCGCGAAAAATACCTCTATGTCGCAACCCACACGGGCAACCATTTTGTTTGGAATGCCTAATATCTATTGTTATTATTCAAAAGCTATCGAAGAAAATCTTTAAAACAAATACGCTTAAACTCAAAGATGTATATTCAAAAATGCAGAAATTTTTCAAATAATTAGGCATTTCCAAATCAGTCCAAATGTTGCCTGTGACAATCCTGTGGGCCTGGTGGCTTTGACAGGGTCAATGATATATATAGTTTTATGACAGTTCGCATCGCGAGCGGCCATATTAATGCTCATTGGTTTAGCAAAAATGTATTTTAAAACCAATTTTTAGCCTTTATAATATATTAGTATAAAAATAATTACCTACATTTTTACTTATGTATAGTTTGAAAACATTAATGATCAAAGTATATAACTACCAGGCCCACAGGGTTATTATATCAATGTCTACAGGCAACCATTTTGTTTAGATTTCCTAATATTCCATTTTATGTATGTAAATCATTTTGAGCCATTAGGTTCTTTCGTTCGTCCTACTGGTGTAGGAATGAACTACACCAATGCACACCATACCTTTCGTTAGGCCAGGTGTAAAATCCACTACATCTTCCTGTCGGCGATGTGGTGTCCACTGGTGGATATATTCTCCACCAGGTGGGCTATTTTCAAACTCGAAAGAATTCATTTCTGTTTTTCTCGGTTTATTTATAGATAATTACATTTCTCCTAAGAATTTTAACCCTTGAAACCTTTAAAAACGGCATTTCCACATTGACGTATGACATTTCTGATGAGAATCTTGAGAGAAATGAGTGTCCCATACTTTTAAAATAGCCCCACAGCAATTTAGCACTAGTCATGTGTGTTAGGAACAAGGAGAAAGTAAACTAGGAAAATAAAAGTGGTGTAACTGGTGTAAATTACACTGGCGGACATTGCACAAACGGCGAACGAAAGAACCTATTGCCTTATTCTATTCTTTAGAACATTATTTGATATTTAACTTACTTTTTAAATGAACTAATTTCAGTTTTTTGTTTATTTAAAAATTCTTATTATTTATTTATTATTTAAATGTACAGTTTCTATGTCAATTATATATTTATGCTTTTATTATGTCTTAAATTATGTATTTTTCATGAATAAACATCTCGTTAATCAACTTTATTTTTATTTCATTAATTAAAAACTTTATTACAGAACATTTAGCTTTTAAAAATATATAAATAGCGAAAAGATTAAACTATACTGTTTTATAGGCAGTACAGAATACATCAGGGTGTAATGGTGGTTGCCTACTACATTTACATGCGACATCTATTAGCGAATAGCTAAAACTAAGCTATTCGCTAATAGATGTCGCCTGTAAATATACTAGGCAACCACCATTACGCAATGGTGTATTCTGTATTGCCTATCAAATACAAATAAAGATGAGCGACACGTCAAAGAACACTCGAATCTACATTTCTGGTACTATATTTTTGTGCATTTGAAGAATAATTCATCTATCAGTAACTGAGAAAACTATAAAAATAATTAAATTAGAAGGCAAAGTATTTCGTACTGTAATTTCTCTCTCACTTATATGTGCACAAATTCTCATCAAGATTGAAGCAGAAATGAAATATACACTCTTCCGATTATCTTCTATTATACAAATACAAAATCCGTCATCAAACTTTGCTTGTAATGCGAAAAATTTTGGTATCAGGACAACAGAAAAGCGAGAAGATATTTTAATGAAACATGAAAATTTAGTTCCCTAATCAAATAATCGTATAATTTAGGGTAACGCAATTTTACGTATTTTTAAACGTGAATAACTACTAAACGGCGCAAGATAGAGACAAGCGGCAAAGAGCATTTTAAACTATCCGTCCGGCTCTACCTTTTTGTGAATTTATGAAATAATTCGATCATTATTAACTGAGGAATTAAGAAAAAAAAATTAACCCTTACAGCTAGGGAGCAACTGAGTTCACCCCTTAATTGCTCGTGCCTTCTTTTATATGTACCCCAATTTTCATCAAGATCGGAGACAAAAAAAAATTTTGTCCAAAATTTTGGAAGGCTATACCCTTTCGATTTTTTTGAAAAAATAAAAGACAATTTAAATTTGCATACGGATAGAGGGTCACATGTAGATCTCAAAAATATACTCAGTTTTTTTCTAGCAGCAATATTAAAAAAGTTGTGGCAAAAATAAAAATGTTCGATATCTCCTCGCGTTTCTATTATCCTGATACAAAGTTCCAAATTCGAAAAGATCCAATTTCGTCGATAAAAGTTTGGTATCAGGATAACAGAAAAGCGACAAGGTATTTAGTTTCATAATCAAAAAATCGAATAATTTAGGGCAACGCAATTTATGAAAATTTAGTTCCATAATCAAATAATCGAATAATTTAGGGTAACGCAATTTTTACGTATTTTTAAATGTGAATAACTACTAAACGGCTCAAGATAGAGGCAAGCGGCAAAAGGCATTTTAAACTATCCGTCCGGCTCTACCTTTATGTGAATTTATGGAATAATTCGATTATTATTAACTGAGAAATTAAGAAAAAAAAGTTAACCCTTATAACTAGGGAGCAACTGAGTTCACCCCTTAATTTCTCGTGCCTTCTTTTATATGTACCCCAATTTTCATCAAGATCGGAGACAAAAAAATTTTTTGTCAAAAATTTTGGAAGGCTATACCCTTTCGATTTTTTTCAAAAAATAAAAGACAATTTAAATTTGCATACGGATAGAGGGTCACATGTAGATCTCAAAAATATACTCAGTTTTTTTCTAGCAGCAATATTTAAAAAGATATGAGCAAAAATAAAAAATTTCGATATCTCCTCGCGTTTCTATTATCCTGATACAAAGTTCCAAATTCGAAAAGCTCCAATTTCGTTGATAAAACTTTGGTATCAGGATAACAGAAAAGCGACAAGGTATTTGGTTTCATAATCAAAAAATCGAATAATTTAGGGTAACGCAATTTATGAAAATTTAGTTCCATAATCAAATAATCGTATAATTTAGGGTAACGAAAAACGACGTATTTGTAATGATACAAAGATAGGATTTCGAAAAGTACTATCTTTGTGAATAAACTTTTGGTATCAGGATAACAGAAGAGTAAGTAGGTGGGAGGTATTTTAAAAAAGGCGGAAAAATTAAGTTCCCTAATTAAGCTACCTTATGATTTATGGTAACGCAAGATAATGATGTTTCTCAGCCACTTCCTATCCGTTTTACAAATTTTAAAACATTTGGGTTTCAATATAATTTTTGCAATTTAGAAAATAAAACAAAAAGAGCAGTTGATTAAAAAGATGTTTATTTATGAAAAATACATAATTTAAAGCAAATTGCACATTTAAACAAAACATACACAATAAAGAATATATTATAGGGTGTTTCTAAATATCATGTCATGAGGATTCCTTATTCCTTTAAATTATAAAGAGAAGCTATTGATCTGATATTAATAAGAAAAACTCAAATTATTTAATGAAAATTAAGAAGCCATAGCGAACAAATATCTTTTCTAATTTTTGATATATATATTTACCATTATTTACCATATACATCACTAGCAGGTCTTTTAAATGTTCAAGACTATCTATAAGGGCACTAATTTCATTTAACGGTTCATCAAAATTAAAAATAACAGCTGCAGATTTTCGACATCAATGCCTGACTTTTAAAAACCAAAAAAAGCACACAGTTTATCATTTATCATTACAACATAAATTTAAAGATTATATTGAATACAATTAACACAATTGGAGTTAATAAAATTGAAGTTACTTCCAGGAAGTGATGTTTCTTCTCCTAATTTCTGTCTCGCTGAATAAAAATTCTCGTACAGGTTCCCGGCACAAAATTTTACTGCCAGATGATCAAACTTCGATTTCTGAAATCATTAATATTAAGCATTAATAAGGAATATAACAAGATAAAATATAAAACTTAAGATTAAAAAGGAATCAAGCCCCTCTAAAATAATGGGTATCAAAACGTTTGTTGTATAATTTACCCCGCCGCTCATGTTTTATGGTATATTACCTATGGGAGAGAATAACAAGATTTTTTATATAAAATATTTACCAATGAAACTATTCGAAAACAGTTAACGAAACGTTCTGCGTTTATAAATGGAAAATTTTAAATTCAAATGAAATAAAATTGTGAAATGTCAAACGTCACATGTCACTCTTCTTCTTTACTATGGTGAAATTACCGGCCCCTTTCTTTAAGAAAATTGGCCAATTAGCACTGGCCTGTTTTAATCGAATAATTTGGTTAAAAATATTTACTCTTTATTGTATGAGATAAAAGGCAACATAAAATCAAATTAAAAAAGAAATGACAATTTCTTAAGTATAATTTATAACCACCGTAACGTAACTTAACTTAACGCCGTAGAAACTTAACCTAAGATATAAAAATAAAGTGTATTTATAAATGTCCGTAACGTAAGAGTTGAGCATGCGTGTTGATTTCAGAGATTATCAAATTACTGACAACCTCATGAAATAAACAAGTGTAAACTATGTACCTAACCTCTAAATAAAACTTATAAATTATGATTTTGCTGTATAGAAAGAAAATATTAACTACTTTAAAAGCAATAATACAAAAATATAATAAAACAGAATAGTTTACTGAAGATGTTGATTGTTTTTGAGCAATAATGAGAATTTAATATTTCCTGGCAAACTAATTTTGTGTCTATTTCAGTTCTAGACTTGATGTTTATAGGTATATTCAACATCACTCATATCTCATAAATAGTTTATCCCCAATAACATAAACACAAATCATTCATGATAATGTATGTCCATCAAAAAGGATAATGATAGTTTACAAATGGTATATTTGTCTATTTATTTATAAAAAAAAATAAAAAAAGAATAATTGACAGTTATCACATGCTGAACTCAGAATTATCTCATTGGCTAACCGTAAGGTCTTGTCTTAAGTTAAGTTATTAAGTTAAAAGTTGGCGAACTTTCTACGGTACGTTAAGTTCTTAAGTTACGTTACGAACTTTATAAATAAGAATACGTAAATTCAATATTTTAACTTCTTACGTTAAGTACTTAAGTTACGTTATGGCGGTTATAAATTAAGCTTTAGATACCATGAAATTTTGATAAGATAGAAGAGGAAAATAACCTTTTATTATGAATTTAGGGTCTATTTATACTCCCTTATTATTAGTATTTGCATTAGTATTATGATTAAGCATTAAGTTGAACCTTCACAATGTAATGGGGACATTTATACTCGATTTATGATTAGTATTAGCATTAATATTTATGCTTAATAATTGACAGGTTCAACTTTTAAATTAAATATTAAAATTCTTCTTTTCAATAAAATGAATCAATGGAGTATTTGGCCTTTGTTTTTAATAGACAACGGATAAGGATAATTGACAACACACATATGATTATTTTGTTTATTTGTTTGTTCCAACAAGCTCGAAAACGATAATATTTCGGTACAAATCATGCTCTGTATACAATTTTTGTGTCAGCAGTGTTTACCGATTATAAAGTTGACAAATGACATGTCACCATGAGGAAGCAAAGGCCTCTTTTCTGTCTGATTTGTATCAAATTTCTGCTTCTTTTTATCTGTTATAAATTTGAGACTTAAATCCGTTAAAATGTCCTTAATTAAACCTATTTTTGAATAATAATATTTTTAGATAAAATTAACTAGTAAAAATATTAATAAAAACACATTTAAAACTAAAATATCTTAAAAAGAACACAATCGGCCTCTTACACATTTCTTCAGTAACCATATATTTTGTTGACTGCAGAATTATATCTTATTAGGTATTATGTTTAAAAAAGAATTACTAATACTAATTATAAAACGAGTATAAATACCTTTTTTGAATGATTTAACAAATTTAATGCTTAATCATAATACTAATACAAATACTAATACTAAGGGAGTATAAATAGACCCTTAAAATCTTTTATTTTCCCGAAATTCATTAATATTTACATTTCATACAGGTATCAGATAATATGTAAAATGATCACAATCTAAGAATAATTAAAACGATAGAGTTTAGGAACCACATTGAAGCAGTACGAAAACTCATATAGGTTATGTAATGCTAGGATTTATTACAAAAAAAGAAATACAACAAAAAATAATGAAATTGTTCATCTGTCCCTTCTTTAACTGTACCAAAAGTCCCTGAAACTGTTTCCAGCCTATGCCACTGCATTATTTAGGAATTGATTGCAATTGCATTTTATATATAGAGTGTAATAGAACTCCTTACTTTGATCCGAAATAAGCCAAACAGCAAAAAACAATATAAAATAGAAATAAAGACTTACCACTTTAATACAATGCTGCATTATTTGAAAAATTCCTGCATTCTGGAAACTAATTCGTCATCATTTAATGGTGAAGATACATCTTTGGGCTTATGGATATTTGAGTTTTCTCCCAATACTCTTGAACCTATAACAAAAAATGTTCACCATACACATCGTTTTGTATGATTAACTAATAAATCAAAAAAAGAAACGCTACTAGAATGGGTCAAATACCATACTTAAGTATTTTTTTTAGTCAATCTTTATTTTTTCTTCATCTATCAATTCTTCTTGTAGCAATAATTAAGATAACCTTGTGTTTATTTCTTGTTACCATCTACTAGTTTTAAAATTAATTATCACATTTAAATCAGTCTGCAATAAACAGTAATGTGCATTTTCAATAAGTTTTGTTTTCATTGATTTTGAGAATATAAACTGGATATAGCTGATACTTTGAGCTATTCAATTAAGATTCCACAAAATTATTTATTTATTTTTTAAAAGGTGTGTAAAGGCAATGATCTGTTTTTGCTCACATTACTTTGGCACCAATTTTCAGATAAACTAGGACTTAATGACTCAATTCGAAAGGTAATTACTCACTACTATTAAGGTGTTGTTTATTATATTTCATTTGGTTTCCATAACAAACGATTCAAATAAAAAGAGTGATTAACAAAAAATGTTTCTAAAGAAGGCCTTAACGACCAAGATAGATACGAGTTGTTTTTTAAATCCAAACTAATATGTAAACTGAATTGTATGCTCCGATGTGTGAATTTTTTTCAATATCTACTTTAAAAACATTTTCTGGATCACTCCAAATTTACATTTGCAAGAGATGTAGAAGAAGCCTTCAGTTTAGGAAGTTAAGCAGCTTACCTGTCTGTATAGTCATGATTTAATCAAGACAAAAGAACATTTTTTACATACTGGAACATTGCATTCTTACCAAGTGTTCTGATTGTGCATATCATAAAAATTGAACAACACATAACCAAAATATTTATTACAAATAGTATAGAAATTCAGTTTGTCTCACAATCTCTTAGGTTGAAATAAAAAATTTTTATTTGCAAATCTTTTCCTCTCTTCACTATCCATTTATTGAAAAAAGACGATATTATAAAAAAAATAATATTAAAAATTAATTCATCGACCTAATAAATGCTTCTTCACCTTGTTAATTGGAAAACCATCTCTCTTTATTTCGATTAATATTCATTTGAACCAAATAAATCATCTAAAATTCTGAAAATGTTCCAGTTAATTTCATCGAATACTAGCGACACAACGTATATAAAAATAATTTTAAATTGTAATAAAATATTTAAATATATCAACAAAATTAAATGTCTTCAAAAAATTTTCTTTAAAAAAAAAATTATTACAAATATGTAAAAAAAATTGAATACAGAGTGGGCTACTGAAAACAGTCCACCGCGATAGACGACTGTAATTAGGTAAACAAATGTGCTGAAATACATAGATGTGCTGCATATCATTTTTATGAGGAACTCCGCAATAATATGCTATATTAAATGGTTAATAGGTTATGTCGATCGTTCATCAAGTACCAAATAGCAGCCATTCTGTTTTTAGAAAACTTTGAACCCATCTGTGATGATTTAAATTGCAGCAAAGTAAGATTTGTATTGGTTGATTTTTTTAGATTTTGGATCTGATGATTTTTATGTATGTATGCAAAAAAAAATAATTGTAAACTTGAAATAGATGTAAAATTGAAAGCAGGAGTCGAAAATTGGTTTAACTGCTATCAAAATGTTTGATTGACTCTGAACTAACAGTATTTGCCTCTGCAAATATTTTTTAATCAATAGTTCTACCCCATTCGCCATAAATAAGACTATTTTAACATTTTTTTCTTAAAAAATAATCACAGAAATCGGACGTTATAAAGAATTATCGCTGAACATACGTAAAAAAAGACAAATTGAGCACCTCCTCCTTTTTTTTTAAGTCTGTTAAAAAAGTATTTTCCCATAAACCAATCATCTATGTATCCCTATTTAAAAATATGGTGCTGAGGAAGTACAAATGAGGGCGTTGTCATGTAAAAGACAACTACATCATAAAAAAATGTTTATAAATCGACCTGTTACTATTTTCATTGTATCTAATAATTATTGTCACATATCAGGTTGGACTGTTTCTGGTTGCCGACTCTGTATATATATTTTTCATTTAAACATCTTCGAACTAAACCTAAACCTTTTATTACTCCAGCCAACTAAGATAAAAATTCCATGATCCTGTTGACAAAACATTTATTTTTTTGTTAAAATAAAACCATTATATAAAGAAAAACAATGTATTTAATAAAATTTCAAATTTTACAGCATGGATCATTTTTTTATTACAAATATAATTTAATAAACATAAATATTTGATATAAATTATTGGTATTTTTAGCTAGATCCAATGCCAATATCTACTTTTACCCAACTTTATTCTGGACATTATCAATTTTTTATAAACTATTAAAAAACATCCAGAAAACAACCGAAACTAGAATATATATAACCTATAAATTAATCACTTTTAAATCATATATTTTAATCAAAAGGATTGTAGAGTTTTTATCTTGGTATGCGGTGATCAGTCCCTGCTTTTGGCAACCAACTATCAAATTAATAATAAATAAAATTCTATCGACTCTTTTTTAATCGATCGGTACGTCTTCGTCTGTCGTGTACTCCGATTCGCGATCGTTCGTCTCAGCCGGATCTTCCTCTTCGGAATCCTCGAATTCCCATTGAGGATGCTCCGTGATTTCCGCTGGGGCCTCTTTGACGTCCAACTTGATCTCTTTTTGCTGGTCGAAACCTAAGTAGGAATCTGATCGTAGGCACACGGTGAATGTGTAAACACCGGGCCAATGAGGCGCCGTAAACTAAAAAGAAACGATGCGTGAGCTGCAACATTGTTTTTCTCATAATAGTTATTTATGTATCAAGGGAATTATAAGGGCCTTAATTACCGATGGCAAAGTTTGCGTCCCGAGGGCCTCTGGCCCGAGGGACAGCAATTGCCTGAGGTTATTAAGGTCAATTAATTCCCGTGGTACATAGATTTGTTCATTTTTAAAACGGAAAAAATTTACCAATTTATTACCTTCCCGGTATATTTGAATCAGGTACCGTTGATTATAAGGTAGAGGGAATTATAGAATCTATATGTCCCAAGGGAGTTATGACCCTCTTTATTGATAGCGTAACTATGATGATATAAGCTTATATCCCTGTCGAAAATAAAGAAATAAAGGCGACATTTATTACGATTCTTCGAACTTTGAGCCTATATATCTTATTCCTACACATTGGCGGCGGAAGAGGGGATCATAGTACTAAGGTAGACCTGACTTACGCATCAGATTTTAAGTTTACTCCACTCTAGTGAAGTTCAAGCCCCCACCAAAGAGAAGTTATTCCGCCGCCAATGTTCCTACACTAGCTGAAATAATCGACAAATTAATCAGCACCAGTTGTACTTCATTGTGCATAGCTCTCACAGTAAAGCTGCTCTTATTGGTTTGGTAGCAATGGTCTTACATTAAACGAAGGAAAAACTCAGCAAATGTCATTTTCTATCATCGCTAAAAGTGAGGAACAGGTTAAACTTTTAGGAATATATTTAGACCCGAAACTAGATTTTAAATATCACATTCAAAGTTTACTAAGTCGTTTAGCAATTTAGACAGCTAAAATTTCAATTAGACATTGTACATTTAAAATGGTCTACTTTTCATTATTTCATAGCATTATGACGTGTGGGGTTGGGTTATACTTTAGGGAAATACAAGCAACCAACTTAGGGTATTTTTATTGTACAAAAAAAAAGTAGTACGCAGCTACAATAGTCACTGCCAACCTATTTTTAAACAGTTCGGTATTTTACCACTACCATGTTGTTTTATTTTAGAGTGTCTTTTATATATGAAAAAACAAATTGGTAATAATAATGTTATAAGAGAAAGCTCTAAACATTCTTATTGCACCAGAAGAAATTATAATATATCTTTACCTGATTACAGATTAACCAAACTTCATGATTCTTATAGATATATCAGCATTAAACTGTACAATTCCCTACCTCAAGCTTATAAAAACTCATCTTTTAATTTATTTACAATAAGAATTCGCAAATTTGTGTCGAGTCACTGCTTTTATTCCATTGACGAATTCTTATCACATGTGTCCATTAATTTTTATCTTTTTTTTTTAAGTATTTTTTAATATGTTATGTGTATCTATATATTTTTTTTGTTTATATTTTTCTAAATTGTAACTGTATTTTCTGTATCTATACCTATATATCTTTTTTTCTTTATACTTTTAACATTGACACATGTAAAATATTTATTTTATTTTACATCAATAAATATAATACTTTCTGACCAATTAAATCTAAGTGTATAATAATTATTTACCTTTAGATGAACAGTTTCTCTATCAACCAGACTAGTAATATGATAAGGTGCTGTAAGCAACGTCCTCGATTTTCTGTCACATATATATGTCCACCAGTACTCTTGTTTTTCATACGGATAGTACGGACAATGAACGGAATGTGATACTTTTGATCTACCTTCTAAAGATTTTTCTCTGCCGTGGATTTTTTTAAACTTTTCCCATTCCTTAAAAAAAAAAAACTAAATTTAATCAACATTTTATATATAACTAGCGGACCCGACAAACGTTGTCCTGTCTTAACTATGAATATTGATTTCGAATTGGTAGGTATAATTAACTAAAAAAATATTTCAAAAACAAAGTGTTTATTATTCTAATGCTTTATGATTTACAACATTCTTTGTTTTTTTCTGGACAATAACAAACACAACAAAAAAAGAATTAGCAAAATCGGTCCAGCCGTTCACGCGTGATGCCGTGACCAAGGGAAACAGAGATTCATTTTAATATATATATATATAGAAATTTTCTAATTTTCCGCGTCATTTTCTTAATTTTTTCTTTCATAAGAACCTTCCCCTGACAATAACAAACACAACAAAAAAAGAATTAGCGAAATCGGTCCAGCCGTCCACGCGTGATGCCGTGATCAAGGGAAACAGGGATTCATTTATATATATATAGAAATTTTCTAATTTTCCGCGCCATTTTCTTTTCTTTTTTTTCATAAGAACCTTCCGACAATAACAAACACAACAAAAAAAGAGTTAGCGAAATCGGTCCAGCCGTCCACGCGTGATGCCGTCATCAAGGGAAACATTCATTTTTATATATATATTCTTATATTTTATAATTTTCCGTGCAATTTTCTTAATTTTTTCTTTCATAAGAACCTTCTGCTGACAATAACAAACACAACAAAAAAAGAATTAGCGAAATCGGTCCAGCCGTTCACGCGTGATGCCGTGATCAAGGGAAACAGATTCATTTTTATATATATTCTTATATTTTATAATTTTCCGTGCAATTTTCTTAATTTTTTCTTTCATAAGAACCTTCTGCTGACAATAACAAACACAACAAAAAAAGAATTAGCGAAATCGGTCCAGCCGTTCACGCGTGATGCCGTGATCAAGGGAAACAGGGATTCATTTTTATATATATAGAAATTTTCTAATTTTTCGCGCCATTTTCTTAATTTTTTCTTTCATAAGAACCTTCTCCTGACAATAACAAACACAACAAAAAAAGAATTAGCGAAATCGGTCCAGCCGTCCACGCGTGATGCCGTGATCAAGGGAAACAGGGATTCATTTTTATATATATAGAAATTTTCTAATTTTCCGCGCCATTTTCTTAATTTTTTTCTTTCACAAGAACCTTCTCCTGACAATAACAAACACAACAAAAAAAGAATTAGCGAAATCGGTCCAGCCGTTCACGCGTGATGCCGTGATCAAGGGAAACAGATTCATTTTTATATATATTCTTATATTTTATAATTTTCCGCGCAATTTTCTTAATTTTTTCTTTCATAAGAACCTTCTCCTGACAATAACAAACACAACAAAAAAATAATTAGCGAAATCGGTCCAAGCGTTGTTGAGTTATGCGCTTACCAACACATTTTGCGATTCATTTTTATATTATAGATATTCAGTATTCAGTACAAAAAAATATTAAATAATTTTATTGTATTATATTATTTAAAGTTTTATTTATATATTTTATATATTAAGAGAATATATTAAGAAATTCCCCATTAGAAAGAACATATAATGAATACCTGATCATCATCTTCATTTGATTTATTAGCATCTTCATCTCCTGAAGATTTATCATGATGCTCGATATTCTCAGTATCACTTTCATCCGTTTCATCGGTATCTTCTTCATCTTCTTTCTTTTCTTTACTTTTAGCTCTTATTAATGTATCTTTTTTCTTTGCTACTACTGGCTTTGGAGAATCTTCAGTCTTTGATTTAAGCGATGTACTGTTCGCCTGTTTATTTACTGGTTTTGATTTTTTCGTTTTCTTACCACCTTAAATTCATTAAAATTAAAAAAAAAATGTTTAAACTTCGGTTAGTTATTATCTTACCCTTTTTTTGCTTTAACCATGCAGGTCTTTTAACGATATTCTCGCTAGCAGTGTCGCCTGCGATTTCTTTAACCTCATCAGTTCCATTCTCTGTTATTTCTGTAGAAACTTTTGCTTGTTCATCTCCGAAAAGGGTGCTCATATTTTTTCTAATTAAAACTACAGTAACAGTTACAATGGCTCCAGCTGTTACTTCGTTTGGGTTATCATCATCCATAACTAAAATTATTTTTTTGCTACAGTAATATTAGAGAACAACTACAAATTTGATATATTATGGAACTTAATTTTTTTTTCTCACGTGGCCATATTTGATAGAGAAATAAATCATGTCTTAGATAACTATAGGTTTGAATTATTGTATACAGACAACAATCTGATGATGTTTAGATGATTCCATGCAAGGTATGATGATATTATTTACTACCAACCTTCTACTTGTATTTGAAAATCGATAAAAGGCATTTTTCCTAGTACCCTCATAACATTTTCATACTCGTCATCACTCAAGTTTCTAAGAAGATTTCGTCTCTCCTCGACTTTCAGCTGGGCATACTGTTGCAAAGTCTTTATCTGACGTTTTTTAGACATGAAATACTTGAGGTTATCGTCGTTAATGTAAGGCAATTGTAAAAGAGGTGATTTAAATTCCCAAAGACCCTGAACAATCATAGGAGAAAGTTTCATGCAATTCTCGATAGTTTCTATAGGTGGTAATCTTGGAACTAAAATGCGAGATAAGATTATAAACGTCTAAAAATATGAAATACAACAAGATTTCAATCATTAATTAATCTTTTTTCGTGTTTAATCTTCATCTTACACTTACTTCGTCTAGAGTATGCCAAAATAATCAGTTCATTGACGGCATTAACTTGTTCGTTTACTAAAAATGGACATTTTCCAATAATATACCTTCTATCTTGCTCTAGAGTATCGGGATTTAAAGGAATCCTACTCAAATGCGCATGAATGATTGCACGCGCTTTTATACTATACAAATAACACAAAGGTCTTTCTTTGTTCTTCTCTCCCAGATTTGGTAGCTTTTTTATTAGCTAAAATAAAAAAAAAATATGTAACCATATTAGTTACAATAAAAAAAAAAAAAATGAAAAGGATACACTAAAGCTAAAGCATTTGATAGCTTAGCTATTGATGAGATATGTTTGATGTCCTATTATAGAAAAAAATGGATTGTTCTATGCACTTGTGAATCGTTTTTTCATCTCCTAAAAAATGTTGATTTTGTGACTTACAAGGTCCTGTCTTGTGGCCCCCGTGGAGTTAAAATTAACGAATATTAAAAAGGCAGTAATGAGAATACATTCAGATGAATATAAAGAAAAAACCCACAAGAAATACAACCAGTGGAAGAACTGATTTCTAGGAAGGGTGGCTCAAAGCTTGGCAAATAAGAGTTTTTAAAGATTGTAGACGTATTTTAAATAACTAAAATCCTAACAGTTCAAAAACCTAATATACAAGGTGAGTCAAAATGGAATACAAATACTTTAGCAGGTGATAGAACAATGATAAACTAATGTTCGAAATTTTGAAATGAGGGAGATAAAGTAATTCAAAGGGGGAATGGAAAAACCAGTATAAAAAAATAGAGTTTTCATTATAATCATTATTTTGGTGGACCATTATTATGACAATTTAAAAAAATACAATAAATTATTTATTTTACAAGGAATTGTGTTGCAATTTTATTCTAAAAACAATTATAGATGCTAAAAAAATATTTTAGATTGATTAATTTTATTTGATTATGTTTGGCTTGCTCCTTCTGTTCGGTGGCCTTGTCTTGTAGCCCAAACAGATATATAAATCTTTTTATTGATTAAAATTTGAAATATATCAGATTTACCAATGAAAAAGTTTTAAATATCTAGAGAAAACGGAAAGCAACGTGGCAACGTTAGATAAAATTAACTTTGACAGTGTTAGTACTATACAGAGTGTGTGATGTTTGACTTTCATAGTATATGTGTATATTTAAATAGAAAAAACAATGTATCTAATATGAATATGAATAATAACCAATACGATTTAAAAACTAAAAAAATAACTTACATGTGGGACTTCTTCATTATCTGACTGCCGCTCAACGATTTCCGAGTTGTTCTTTTTGTCAAATTCCCAGCTAGCGGCCAAAATCATGATGACCCGCTTTATTGCAGCATTAGGGGTTTTATTGAAGTAATGAAAATATAAATGTGTTGTATCTAATAACACCTGATCTCCAGTATATTTAATACTTCTATACCACCAAGTACCAACCTTAAAAGACAATTATTTTTTCTAAGTTGTCTTAAACAATGAAGATAAGTATAGGGACATATAATTCTTCTTTAATATCTCCTTTAATTAGCAAAGCTAATAGCACATTACAATTAAATAAAATTACAAAAAAATATATCTATATCTAAAATATAAAACATAAAATTTAACACTTTAAACATTAAAGTATCATAGATACTGGCTCAATAACTTATAATCTCTTAATGTCTATTTAAAGGTATTAAATATGGCGACAATTATAAAATATACTGAATTTTTGCAATTGCTATTTGCAGAATATCCAAATTAAATCTATTTCTTGCGTTATAATCAAAGTTGTAATTAATTTTATCAAGCAAATAAGAGGAACCAGTCCATATTTAATTTTATCGATCATTCAACCTCTACTTTCAATTTACTATGGTTCTTTGGTTAGTGCCAAACAGTCTAGATATATTAAAATGTGTACTTTTAGGTAATGAAACAATTTCTACACTAATGTTTTTAGAATTAGTTATCACTAGATTTATAAGTGAGCCATCATTGTTATTATTGGAAGGCTGAGTAACTTGTGAAACAATATATTGAAAAATCACATAAATAGTCATTACAAAAAAATTCCTTACAAGATGTATAAACTAACAAACTTACCAATAATTGACAGTGTTCCAGTAATTGACACTTGTTCAATTATTATTCTTCAAAAATAAGAACATTAGGACTATATATGAGAAATTTATCTTAAACATCGATATTTTTAGAATATTTGGCAACCGTGTAGCCTACGTAACAGATGTTAGGTGGCACCACGGTTAGTTACAAAATGATGAAAAGAGCACGTGCAGTGATAGAGTGTTTATGTTAAGACATTTCATAATGTCAGTACACCAAATTGAATATATCTACTTCTTATCACTTCATGGTAAATTTATTTAAACTATTCCTGGGGGTGTATTAAACAACACTGATGGGTTTTTATGCATGTAAATCCTAAAACCTCATTTTTGTTAAAGTGTCAATAATTGGAACAAACAAAACCAGTATGTTCCAGTTATTGACATACCCTGTCAATCACTGGTCCACAAGCAAATACTGATATATATTGTTGTCATACTGTCTAAAAAGTCTGCAATATACCATTTAAATATGAGATCTAACACCCTTTTGGTTCCAGTCACTGACAGGGGTGTCAATTATTGGTACAAGAAGTGTCAATAACTAGAACACGTTTTTTATTACAGTTAAGGCTCCTAAAAAAAATTATACAGAAGCTCAGTTGGATGAAGCTCTTGCTGCTATAGCAAGAGGGATGCCAGTAGCTACAGCTGCTAAAACTTACTTTGTTCCACGAACAACGTTACTTTATAAATCAACAGGAAAGCTACCTATACATTGCCGAATGGGACCAAGTACCATTCTCACAAGCAATGAAGAAACTCTTATCGAACAGTGGATACTTTCTTTAGCAAAAGTGCACCATCCAGTAGGCAAAGAGCAATTACTACAACCAAAAGGTGATAAAGTCCTTGCACGAAAAGGGGATAAAAGCGTGTACAATACTGGAACCAACGTTGAGAAAGAAAATTTAACTGTATTAGTCACCGCCAATGCCGCTGGGACACTAGCTTCTCCCATGGTGGTATTTAAATATGAAGGCATTCCAAGTCATGTAGCTATCAGTATCAATAAAAGTTGGGGAATAGCCCGTTCCGAAAGTGGATGGATGCATGGAGCATTTTTTTTTAATACATAACAAATGTGTTACAGATAAAACAATTCAACATGGATTTAGGGCATGTGGACTTTCGCCGTTTAATGTAAAAAATGTAAATTTTCAAAAATTTCAAACTCGTCGACAGAAGTTAATCAAACCAGAATAATAGAAGGGTTGGCAGTTTTGGAAAAATGTATTCCCTCAGAAAAATTAAAAAACTTTCGAACAAATTTTGATACTGCATGGACAAGTATCCCAGAGATATCCACAGAATATATTTTGTGGATATCCAATATGGATATCCAACCAAATGTCCGTCTATATCCCAGGATATATAGAATTCAGATATTCAGCAAAATATTTTATAGGTATCTTTAGCAGGGCTGCCGCGGAGATATTTAAAAATGTACTAGAAAATTCAAGAAAAATGTACTAAATTGTACTAAATTTTGGGTGGACTGTCATTTGTCGAAACTGTCACGTATATTATCGGTTGTCATGTCAAATCTTGTCGAATGTCAACTGTAGGATGGATGGGCGTTATTTTTGTTGCTTATATACCTTAAAAAATTGGAATTGGAATATACCACTGGAATATACCGATACGTTAATATGAATATAGTTTTTTTTTGTTTTAAATTTTATTTTAATCAAGTTTAAAGTTTTTATATGTTTATCAAGGTAGGTAAAAATAAATTGAACGATCATAAACCAGTCAGGATTTTGCGCAATAGATAATTTAGCGGTCCCAATATTCTACTGCGCAGAATCCTGGAGTCGGTGACGGGTTTCTGATCGTTTTTGGAATAGATCTTGTGTAAAATCCCTTTTCTTTAGGAAAAATATTGCCAATATTTACAATACATACCCTTATATCGAAAAACTTAGGCTTTCTATAATACATGATGCCATAAAAACGATCAGTATTTCAAATTGTACTAATGCTGCGTTTGAGAATCCACATCGGATGCATCTGAGATGTAAAAAATCTTTTATCACGTGATTCAGTATACGTAAATGTAATGGGACAGATGTGTCCGATGTGGATAAAAAAACGCTCAGATGTAAAAAATGCATCAGATGTGGGATTCTCAAACGCAGCATATATTGTCCTTGATTTGACTTAAAATGTACTTTTGTACTTTGCCGTGAGAAATGTACTAAATTTAGTACAATTGTACTGAAACGGCAGCCCTGATCTTTAGTAGAGGTCATGTTCATAAGTAACCAAGGATTATTGAATAAAGTCGAAAGAAAATGGAGATAAAAAATATTTCCAACAAACTGCCTTTGATTTTGCCCACTAAGGGGTAAGGGCACAAAGGAGAAAGTCATCCTTATTAGGACTCTTCAGCAATAAATGGAAATTCTCGACTCCAGTCTCTAATGGAGTCTGAATGTAAAAAAAAATCGATCGAACTCAATTACGGCGGATTGAGCATGAGTAGATACGAAAGTGGTATCGCCATCTATACTTAGGAAGCAAAATCAAAAATTACATCTAGTGGATATTCACGATGGTTTGCGTCCGCGCTTAGACTTTGATATATTTAGTGGATGTCCATGGGATATTGAATACACCTTAAAAAAATTAATTTTAAATATCTGAACGGTACTATTAGCCACAATGGCCAGCACAATGGCGTAATTTTTTTAATAATTTGCTATATAATTACTATTATTTATGGACATTTGCATGTCTATAAATTACATTTCATGGATATAAAATAGATATCCACCATGGATTAGACATTCAGTGGATATTGGGATGTTCAGTAGATATCCAAAGGATTTGGTGTGCTGTCTGGGTATTAACCCTAAAACTATTATAACCATTTATAGTAATTTCAGAATCGATTATTTCATCAGTAAGATCTGTTTCAGAAATGCACATTAGTAATGGCTTTTTTTTTGACATAACTAAAGCTGAAATTTCATCAAAATGACATTAAACTTTGAGCATTAAAAATGATATAATAAAACAGTCAAAGGTTTTTAGAATAGATAATAACCATGTGGGTGTAGAAAAAAAAGTTTCCCATATGGTTCCGACTTAACTAGACACTGTATAAATATAATGATAAAAAAAATCCTAATCTATAATTTTACTTGTATGGGTAGTTAGGTTTCATAAATACTTATTGTATAGGTAGTTAGGTTTCATAAATTAAAATGCAAATCAAAATATTTTTAACTTTAATGTATGTAAATATAGGTAAAATAAGCTTAAATTTCATATTTTAATTCCTTCCTTTGTAATTTATTTAACATATAAATATTTGTAAACAAATAATTTTAAATATAAACTCACAAGTAAGTTCAATGTATTATTTTTAACTGATAATTAACAACATAGTAAACATTTGTCATTATTCTATTGGCTGCTTTTAATCATCAATAATAGACACTAATATTTTAATTATAATTTGTTTTTAAATGCTGAATTAAATGTAAAATAGCAATAAAAATTCGGATGAGATAATATATCTATTTAAAGATTCGTTAGGTACTTTTTATCTCCAAATACCCAAACTTTGATTTTTGTTCCAGGCCAAGTCTGGTTTATAAATATGAATTTTAGTACACACTTTATTTTTTCAAGAAAATATTATGCAGAATAATACCTAGATCTTTAACATTATCTATATTAGAAGAAAATTGTATATGACAACATTTTCTATATATGTATTTAAAAATAAAATAACTAAAAGTCTCAAATTTAACTTACCACTATGGGCATTGCAACCATAAAAACAAGAGCATATAATCCTAATACCCATACACTGTTTTCTTTCTCAACTATCCAAGAAGGTAAGGCTATGCCAAAACTCATAGCTCCTGGACCATCTGGATTACCATATTTTTCCCAATTTCTCCTTGCCTCTTCATCTGTTAATGCCTAAAGTAAAGACACATGTTTCATGGTTTTTATTTGGAAAATCAGTGGTTCAGCACCAGAGTTGTCTAACCAACAATTTAATAAAGGTAAGTAAATGGAGAATAAAGCAATTTACCTGTATCTACTAGATTTGACTGCCTAATCTTTAGGTATAGATATTAGCCCCAAAAAATAATAATTTTAAATAATAAATAACTTTGACATGCACAGAAATGATTGGAGATCAAATCACTTTACCTGCCTAATACTTATAAATAGATGTTGGCACCGAAAATGAATAATTTTAAGGAATGGGTAACTTGGGCGCGTACAGAAATGATTTTAAAATAATAATATATGAAAAAATGTTTTAAAATTTTATTGGTTAGGCAACTTTGTCACCTAACCACTCAATTAATCTATTTATCAATGCATGCAAACTAGATATGTTTAATGTACAAGGGATTATACTTACTTGATAAGCTTTAGTTAATTTCATGAATTCCTTTTCATTACCAGTATCTTTATCAGGATGTAAAATTAGCGACAACTTTCTGTAGGCTTTTTTAATTTCAGATTGACTAGCACCAAGTGAGATACCCAGTATTTCATGAGGATCAAAATTAGACATTTCATAATCGAACTGAGACACCTTATAAGCTAATAAAAATAGGATAACCCATCCAAATATAATTATTAATTTTATTAAAAAATTCTTGGTACCCTTCCATGGTTCCAATTTTTTTATGTGTTCTTTTTTTGATATACAACCTGGACATTTACATTGTTTAACATCTTCTTCAACATCTAAAATGAATAAAGGAATTTAAAAATATTTTAAAATGTACAATTATTTGTTCATATAAATTTAGTACATATACTATACAGAATACATGAAATAATTAATCTTTTAAATAATTTTACAAAAGGAAAAATACATGTTACTCATTTCCAACCTCTTTTTTTCTTTTTCGGCCAGTAATAAAACGTCGCTGGAATCAAAATAAGAGCTAAAAATGACAATAAGAAATAGAAAAATGTTCCTCCACTTTCATCATACTGAAATTTTTGCCCCATTTCACTTTATCAAAATTGTTAGGGGTCCAACGTGTTAAAAATATGCAAAATGACATCAAAAAATGAGCCCACCGGACACACCACCAATTTTATTACAGTTAAAAAATAGACGTCACAAAACAGACGTGTCCAAATTTTTGTTCCATATCATCAAGAGTAAAAAGCGAGTAGAAATAACATTGCTCTGTTCGAAGCACAGCACTCGGAATTCAGACAAACAACAAAACGTGCCCAAACTAATTTGCTTTCACCCACTAAACAGGGTCGTTCTGGCCCAAATGTTTTCAAATTAAATTTTAGGCTGAAGGTTAAGTAAAAAAAATGTTACCTTTTTACCTCGAGAAACGATATGTTGGGATTATGAAAACATATTTTTTGTGTGTTATAGATTCAATTACCTCGAATAATCAAAAAATATAAATAAACTAAATAATTCTTTGTTTTTTGTTTCAAAAATACCACGATAAAATAAATAATTGCAATATGTAACAACTTTGAAAAGGGATATAAACAACTTTAATAAGATATATAAACAACTTTGGTAAAAAACACTTATTCTTAGAACAATTATTCCACGCATTTTAAATTCAATTTTACCTAAAATCAATAGAAATTTAACATTTAAAAATTAGTTATAGGGGTCTATTCTGTAACAATTTCTTTACATTTTAACGGCCGTTAAAATATTGGCAGTCTTTAAAAATATTTTCGTATTCACTAACTTACTTTTGTCATTATTTAAACGGAATCCTTTAAAATAGTCTTCAAATAACAATCATTTTTAAAGGGATGTTAAAATTCGCCTTTAATTTTTAACGGTTTTGAATTGAAAATTGAGGATTTGTATGGTTGTGTTTTCAAACTAGTTCAAATAAATCTTAAATGCGATGTTCTCCTGCCATTTTTAAGAGAATCCGTTAAAATAAATAATTTTTAACAGGCCTCTAAAATTTGGTTAAAAAAATTAACATGTCGCTAAAATTTGAATTTTTAAAAAACTCTAAATTTTCTTAGGGCGAGATTATAGAAAAAGCAAGTCAGCAACTATGCAGATTTGCAAATATGGCGGACGTACAGACGCAAGTATTATTTTTTAGTATTCCAAAAAGTATCTGCAAATCCGCAATATTTAAAAACTCGATAATCTCTGATACCACAAACTGTATTCAATCAAAAGGAACAGAATACTTCATGGTTATTAAATAAAAAAAATAAAGTAAAAATTGACACTCTGCAAGTATGTAGGATATTCTAACCTCCTCCAAAGTTACAGATGATTTGGAGACGCCAAAAGTTAAAACACTTTCCTGTAAAACCATGTCTCTCATTTGCAACTTTAACTGATAATTGCAGATGTAAGTATAAACGTTTATAGACCTCTAAGGGCCGATTCCACCGTTGTGGTAAACGGAGATTAAAATGACATTGTTAATGTAAAAATGTCATTGTAAACTTCGTTTAAGACAACGGTAGAATCGGTCCTAAAAAGCATATTCAATCATAAACGTTCACGTTGGTTTATACTGCGAAAAATACCTTCTTGTAATTATATTTCGGCGATAAATGTAATTTATTGGGTGAATTAAAAATACAACAAATCGAAACGCAAGTAGATTTACGAGCTAGAATAATCTTCAGCTTGTGGAAATCTACCAGATGGAAACTCAGAATAAGGATATATTCAGATGTAAAACATATGTTCTGATCCGAACAAAAATAGTGTTCAAGATGGGACTATGTCGTAACCCCCTGAATATACAAATCCTGCCTATGGATGAGCAATCTATATAACTCTATAGACATTGGCCTAAACTTCAATCGTAAGCGTAACCGTAATGTCAAAATTATGAGTTATCAAAAGTGTGACAGAACGTAATCGGTTAGCGGTTCTCAGACAGTGTTGTTCCTGGTTGTACAATTGTACAAAAAGTTGTACAATCAGTTATGCGGTTGTACTGTTGTACGCACTTTTGAAAAAAGACAAAAATGTTGTACAATATGAAATTGCTAAATATTTATGTAAAATCGGGTATATAAAAGGTTTTGTTCGCTCAAAAGTCTACGATTTGTTAAATAGCATGCATTAAAATTAATAAAAAAAAATAAGAGTTTAAATTTGGCGCTATTCGCGACCAATCAGTACACCGTTTTACATCGAAAATATATTTTAAACTGGAAAAAAGAAGAATTTTAAGCATGGGAAAGTAGCAGGCCATAGTCTGACAATAAAAAAGAAGAAGATTAATTAGTGGTTGTACAATCGAAGGTAAAAGTGTACAATTTTGACACTGAAAGTTGTACAATTCAAAAATCCCTAGGAACAACACTGTTCTCAGACAGGTTAACTAAACGCCATTGTTGGACTGAATGATCTTTATTTTGTTAAAATAATTTTGTTTATTAATGGACACAATAAGACGTTTTAGTGTAAGTGCTTAGCAATTATTAGTGCAATAGTGATAGTGATTATAACTATTTTTAAACAAGTAAAATAAATACAAAGATTAGTCAATGTCAGCAGGCGTGTCAGATCAGGTAAAAATCAAAATATCATTTGACAGAGAGTTTAAAGGAAAAAATAAACTTTTGAGTCTATTTCTGAGTAACTCTAACATATATTTTATTTTGTTTTCATAAATGGATCCAATAGCGGATGAAAGGACAGGGAAATCAAGGTATGTTTTGTTTTTATTTTTATCTGATTAAGCAAAATATCAAATGTCTTTGATAAACACTTATTGTAGGTTCCAATATGAATTGAACTAAAGTTATAGCTTCATATAGATTGACACTTTTGTGATTTATTCTATATAAAATAAGAAGTGTAAATTGTTTACTCTAACAAGTGGTTTTAAAATTCTACTTGCCTAAATTCCATTTGCTTCCTTAAAATATCTCATATTTACTGTTGTTTCATATATAGTGTCCAATGGCTCTAAAGAACAGCTAGGTGCAGGAGAGGGAGCAGCAGGCTCAGAAGAGTTTGAAACATGGAGAAGCCAGCAACAGAACACCACTGCTCACACTGCTTATGGAGCTTCCGTTCCAATTTCCAGTGCAACAGATATTTACAATATGAGCACAGCAGGTATTCTTTATTTTAAACATTAGCCTATGCAGTTTTTAATGTTTTAATATAAAAAAAAAATAAGAAATAATATTGGAATTTAATCACAACTTTATTATTTCATTTTTTCTTGGTTTTGATTTTTTTATTTTAAATTTGATATCATCACTTGAATAAAGTGTAAAAAAGCTGGGTGAATATCTAGTTTGAACCCTTATTTATTTATAGAATTAATAAGTATACATAAGATACAGGATTTTGTCACAAATTCATTTCATCTTCACCAGTTCATTATTCATTTATTTAAGTTATGTCACCATAAAATGAGATATAGTTCTATTCATACTAATAATAATTAAATGTTATATGATCATACTATTATAATTTTGCTAATATTGACTAATTTCTTTGCTCCAATCAATTGTGTGAAATTTTTCAAATTTCTTTACTGTAGGTAGTTGATTTTTTTAAAAATATTTTCAAATTAACTATTGATTCATTTGTACCATTCAAAAGATATGAAACATTAAAAAAGAGTTGAGCACCCAGCTGAAACATACATTTTTTTTTAATAGATAAATAATACATTTTACTAGACACATAAATAATGGTTTGGTGATAAGACTTGAAACTGTCCTGGCACTTTACTAGGAAGCACCAAAAGTAGATAATAACAATATAATAATTTACTTTATCAAAGGTTTTATGTAAATTGTTTTACACAAGCCAATTTTTAACTCAATTAGTAGGTCAGGCATTTTTTATTTAAAAAAAAAAAATCTAAAAAGTAGACAATATTAGAAATTTGTGATTTTTTAACCTCTACTAATTAATTTTTTTTAATGAAATATAAACATGACCAATGCCATAAATAATAATTAACTACCTAGGTCATGACACAAGTATTAAAAAAATTTCAAAACATTTTTTTGTGTGAATATTCTTATATACATTCTGTGAATGAAATAAAGTCATAACACAAAAGGCATGTGATTTATTTGACACAGAGGTAAATAAAAGAAAAGAAAACCCTGTGATTACACATTTTTATTATATTTTCATTTAATTTCTGTTTACTTTTAGATATTTTTATTAAAATCTGGTAATCATTTAACTAATCCTGCTAATATATTTTGTTTAAAAAGGTTATTACGGAAGTGGAGGGACTTACCCTTATCAAGCATATGGAGTAGGAGATGGAACATGGTCAAATGGAACAGACCCAATGACATTTTTAAGTGGATATCCCCACGACTCTTATTCCATGGATGGTATGTTTATTCTAATACTTTTATGCCCCACACAGCAAGGAAATCCAATATTTTTCTTATTTCTATTATTTTTAAGTTACCTAAATAAAATTTTGTTAAAAATTATCAGTTTTAGGGTCTATAGTATAATAATGCCATCAATATTTTTTTTTATATATTTGTTATGAACAATTTTTTAGTAATTTTTTGCTAGTATTTTGCAGTATTAAAAAAAAACCTAGAATTCAATGTAACATTTTACACTGAAATTAATGGTGAAAAAAATATACAGGGTGTAATTACAAAATATTGATAGTTAAGCTGTTCTGGATCAATAATGCATCATATCACAGTCAATTAAAGGAGTCACTACCTACAACAAGATGGAAAAAAAGAAGATATTTCAAAATGGCTTCATTCTAAAAATATTATCAGTCCACTTAAACCCTTGAAGGCAGAATAAAAACAAATTCAAAAAATATATTATAGATGAGATGGCCTGAGAAAAAGGAATTGAAATTTTCAGATTGCCTCCTTACCATGCAGAGTTTACTCCCATTGAACTAATCTGGTCACAATTAAAAGGTTATGTTTCTTAAAAGGATACATTTAAATTACCTGATGTACAAAATTTGTTTTTGAAGGCAGTTTCAGATGTATAATAATAAATTTCAAAAAAGACAATGATACCAGTAGTTATAATGAAGATATTTCTTAAATTTTTTTATTTTGCATAGTACCCCTATGGAATGTGATGTTATATCCCCACTTTTACTGCACTCCTCTTTTATTTAGACTATACTTACTACAAACATATTATTATGTTGTACTGTAGATCATAATCAAATAATATTTACTTTGCTAAACCTGTTAACTTTTATTTAAAACATTTTATCTTATTTATTACGATTAGAGAGATATTAGAGTTCCTGGCATTAATGGTGTATTTAACAAACATTAATCTGCTAATAATGGTTATTATATATTATGTATTCAGGCATGTTTGGTCCATCAACAACTTTTTCAACGCCAACAGCTTTTGCTGGCCAGCACTCGTCATTCAACTATTTCCACAGCAATGGAGACTTCAACACTTGGGGAAGTCAATTAGGAGGCCAACGAAAGTATGATGATTACTACAGGGATCATCAAAATATGTACACTCAAGCTATGCCTGATTCTACTTTAAAAAGTGTAGAACAAGCAATGCAAAATTTAGGTTAGCATCTTTTTTAATAATCACCATCAAACATTTTCTACTTAAAATTATTGTAGATTTAAAAGCTTCCATGGATTCAAAAGAATCTATGGGGCAACAGAAGAAGACTACATGGGCGAGCATAGCAAGCCAACCTGCCAAACCCCAACTTTCCATCCAAAATCAGGGGCTAAAAAAGAAAGGACCTGGAATGCCTCCTGGTCCCATAGTCCCAGGCAAACATAATATGGACATTGGTACCTGGGACACCAACAAAACCCCACCTCAACTACCGCCGGCAGTTACTAATACCCCAAAGAATGTGGTTCCATCAGCAGTGGCTGTAAGACCAGGTTGGAATGGACCTCCAACTAATAGACAAGCCCCACCAGTTGCCCCTCGTCCACAGCATCCTATGCCAACTTATCAGCCACAAGGGATGATGCCCTCACACTTGCCACCTCAGGTCAATATGCCTACAGGACACTTGCAGGTACAAGCGAATTTGTTTATTAAAAATATGGCAAAGAAGTCCATTGCAATATATAGAAATACCATATTGTAAAATGTTTTTTAGGGGATGATGCCACCTCCAATGCCAGCAATGATGGTACCAACTCCTCCCGCCAGTGCTGCAGCCATTCATCATCCAGTTCTTGATGAACTAAAGGGGAAAAATAATTACAATCCAACAGATTTTGACTTGACTGCTCCAAATGCTCGTTTTTTTGTTATTAAATCTTATTCTGAAGATGACATTCATAGGTATAAAACATTTTTATTTTGTTATTAGTATGCTATGCATCCTGCTTACAAAGAAAAATTTGGTCAGATAATAATTTATGTTTAATTTGTGATGAAATTGTTGATCTCAATCATATAATTTTAGAGTATGTCCTAAATTCACTAGATAATGACACAATTAGTTAATATTGGTATACCGCTACCAATAAACGTTGACGTTTTACTTTCATTAAACGATGTTAAAGTTTATAAAATATTGTATGAATTTGTTAAAAAAAACTAATACAAGATTGTAAGTAGCTGATCTACACAAAAAATATTGTAAACTTGAAACGAAAAATAAAGTAAATGATAAAACAAAAAAGAAATAAAGGAAAAAAACAAAAAATAATTAAACTAAAATACATATAATTAAAAAAAAATGGATATTTATATAATTAATTACAAACTCAGCTATTTTGATAGCTGTAAGTTAAAATAATATAATAATAATAATGTAATTATGTAACAATAGTGGATAAAACAATTAATTATGGATTACTACAATAGTCTGGTCTTTTGATTTTATCCAGTGCCATTATTAAAAAAGAAAATAGTTTGAGGGCACGACAATTGCGTCAGCGGTTTGGTAACAAAGCAAATCTTTGATACGTTTCTATATTAAAATTGCCTAATTTCACTGTAGCATGAAACATTTAATTGTTAAAAATTGTACCTAGTTGGTAAGTAGGTGACAAAAACATTTTTTTCTACAATTTTAGCCTAATGAATTTGATGGAAATCACTCTTGGAATAGAAAAATAAATATATTGCTGTTTGGCAATTGAAATAAGTTTTTATTTATATTTTCTAGACTACATATTCGATCTTAAAATTTTAATGTGTCACACATTTAGTGCAACAACTTTGCAAATCTATTTTTTACAGGGGAGTTCTTTGAAAGTTTTGCTATTTATAAACTGAAAGGTATTATTTATGTGTTGTTTTTTTTTGTTTTTCTACATAAAAAGTTGTGCATGGTCTAAAACCTAAAGTGATATCAAATGCGCTAGTTCAGTGATGATGTAATTATGGTTCCACTGACAATTGAAGTAACGGTAGATTTTTTAAGTGCCTTTTGTTTACCTAAATTGTATCGTTTTTTGACTTATAAATATATTCCTAAAGTAAGTAGATAATATGCATCAAATATACAATCGTTTAGTTACCAATTACATACCTTTAAACTTTTTTATGACCTGTAAACAATATTTAGAAATAAACTAAAAACAGTAAAAACGTATATGTCAAATTTATTGATGTTTTTGTTAAAAGTTTGGTTAGAATTAAATGTCAGTGGTACCAAAATGACATCACACTAAACTAGCGCCCGAGAATACGGATCAAGGAGAAGCGACAGTAGAAGTAGTTAGGGTTAATAGCAATGGTGAAATTTCGGCACCAAAATATAATTCATTATGTAATAATTAATTATTTGTTATAAAAGTAAAAGACGTTTATTATTTTATAATTTATCTATAAAATTTGTTTAATATTTGGTTTATTTGTTGTTAAAAATGTAATAGAAGGCCCATATTTAAATTACCTTTTCCTTAAGTAAAAATAAGGTAAATAAAATTAAGGGTACCAAAAAAATTTAGGTAATAATTAAAAAGACATTAAGTTTGAGAGGTTTAACTAAATATTTGCAATGTGCATATATTTTCAAAGCTTTTAGGTTTAAAAAGTACTTACATATTTTTTAGAATTTCTAGATTTATATTATATTAAAAGGACTTTCAAATTTATCACTCATTTCTGTAGAAACAAGTGTTTTCTCGCCAAGTTAAACCAGATGTCATTTAAGGTTTATGTATTTAGAGTTAAATACCTGGCCTGGCTATCACCCAGACAATACAAATATGTCCATCGGACTCCATTTGATATACAATTTTGGATGTCTAGATGTCCAAAAATGAGTTTTCTGGACTTCCGACATCCAATGGACGTCCAGTGAAGTATACAAATGGCACACTTTTGACCATTCAGAGGACGTCGAATACTGGACATTCAAAAAACGTCCAGGATTATATTTCCATTGAGACCACATCCCCACTTTTTTTACAGAACCGCAACTCACCACACACTATTTTATATTATTATTAATTTGTTTATTATTTTCGCAAACTACTATACACCATTTATTTATTTTTTATTAAAAATCGCTTGACCTGAGCAGGAATCGAATTCACGATACATCCATTATCGTTTTACGCTTTCAATCGCTAGACGAGCTCGACCAAGGAACCACTTGAAAACTTTTTACTAGATGCAGTTATTATTGAATAAGATTTTAAATTTCTGCTGATAGAATGAAATGCAATGGATTCAATTTGTCAATTTTTAATGACCAGTTATATAAAAAAAAAGAAGTATATATAAATGGGTATTATCTGGTAGGCTTAATAAATAATGATCTAAGATGGACGTCCACTGGACGTCAAAATACTACTAAACTTAAAATTAAGTCCAAAAACAGACGTTCTCTGGGTATCGATATTCAGCTATCAATTTAATTAGCATAAACGGACGTACACTGGATGCCCGGATATGGACGTCCTGACCCTCAAATAGATCTAAAGTGGACGTCCATTGGACTATGTGTGCATAGACGAATTTTTAGAAATAGTACTTATTTAAGTATGCACCAATATTTCCAAAATCAACTCCAGTATGATTCATTCAATAAATGTAAATATGAATGGGCAAAACATCTTTATATTGACATAATTGTAACTTACAATTTAGCCATAATAAAGGGATTTCGCCCACTTTGACCAATCCTAATTGAAATACGCGAATTTATTATATTTTTTTAAATATAATTTCAAAATAAAATAAACAAAATCTGCAGTTCATTGTTTATTAAATTTATTTAAAAGAAGAAAAACATATATTTCACAAAATACAATACCTACATATGTCAAAAATAATTATACTTAATATTTATGCATGTGATAAAATTCTTAGTTTTCTAATAACTTTTTGGGCACATTTTATATCTGTATTAGAATACCTAAGTGTGTAAAAATCTTCATCTTATTACTACACAAAACAAACACCAAAAGATATCACTTAACATTGTTCACGTACTAAACACAACTTGGACTGACTTTGACAGATAAAATTTGATATCAGATGGTTGAATTTTAGGTTTTAGACCATTCACAACTTTTTTTTCAAAATGATGGCCCCATCGCCCGGAATATATGAATAGATTAATTTTCTAATGGTTTTGTAGGAGTATTAAGTATGAAATATGGTGTAGTACGGAACACGGCAACAAGCGACTGGATCACGCCTATAGGGAACGTGAAGGTGCTGGCGCGATTTTTCTCTTCTTTTCTGTAAACGGTTCAGGACATTTCTGCGGGATGGCGCAAATGGTCTCCGCTGTAGACTATCATGCCAATAGTTCTGTTTGGTCGCAGGATAAATGGAAAGGACAATTTAAGGTAAATATGTAGTTTTTTCTACTATGAGCAATGGCCAAACTGTTATTTGTCATGCATGACAGTACTGGAGGCTTAACTATTTTAATATATTTCGTTTTATTATTAATATTATTTATATAGGATGTTTGATTCTAGTTTTTGATAGTGGATATTTTTTTTTCTACGCCCACACTACAAAACGATAAAGTATGCCATTGGATTCAACTGAACAAATATATTTCATATCCATTCTACTTAGTAAGAACACTGCAAAAAAATGATATTCACTAGTGACGGTTTATATTTTGTTCACTCTGCTACTATTATTTTTTAAACATTATATGTGATGATTATGTCAAACTAATTGTCAGTATATTTTTTATTAAATATATGTAAAAATTAGTTATTCTTCTGTAGAATCTATTTTAATTTAGTTCAGATTTACAAATAAATCGTAAATTTTAATCAAAGTATATAAAACTAATTTAATTACAAGTATTAAAACTAAAAGTGTGGCGATGGAGGTGAGAATAGAGCGTTTGGATTCCATGCGGGAGACCGAGGTTCAAATCTGGACTGGGGACTAATTAAATTAAATCTTTTTTTTTTTAAATTTATTTTATAAATTAGTAAAAGTATATACTCTTGTTGCAGTACTTTTTAATGTTAGAAGTTATTACTATATTATTTGCAACAGAATATTAACACAGTGTCATTTTCTTATGAATATAATCAAATATGAATTAATTACTGATGTTTGTTCAATAGGTGCGTTGGGTTTACGTAAAGGATGTTCCGAATGTTCAGTTACGTCACATCCGGCTAGAAAATAACGACAATAAGTCAGTGACGCAATCAAGAGACACTCAGGAAGTGCCTCATTCAAAAGGTGTGCAAGTACTTCGTATTATGCACTCATATAGACATTCAACATCAATATTTGATGATTTTGTGCATTATGAAAAAAGGCAAGAGGAGGAGGATAACCGTAAACAACCGCTGGTGAAAGAAAATCCCGGTGGCGGACAAGGTGGACATGAATCCGCCGGTGTTAGCGGCGGAGGCCAAATTAGGGAACACAGAGACAGAGGGGACCATAGAGGCGGTAGAAATCATGATAGAGATGGTGATAGTGGACATCGTTCTGGCGGAAACCATAGAAATAATGACCATCATGGTGGCGGAGGACATAAGGTACTAATATATTAACAATTTATCATTTTTCTCACTCTATAATCTGGCATAGCTGAAGGCGAAAGCATTTTCAATACTATTGTAGTGTATTTTTGTTTAAATTTTTTTGCCACAAACAGTTGTTATTATTACCTACCCATGTCTTTTTTTAATCGTTTATTAGGGTAAAATAAATGCATATGTGCATGTTATGAATACATTTTGGTGAATATATCCCACTCTATACTCATTATCGTATTTTATTTTTACGAAATTTGTTTCAGGACCGTGACAACAACAGAGGCCGCGGGGGTCGTGGTGGTCGAAACTAAAATGAAGAATTAAACAAGAATAAAACATAACATATTGTTACGGCTGCTGTGTTTACTCTAGTGTTATTTCTATGATCGGCTTTAATTGGACGCCGTTCACGTTTATTTTACCGACACTCAACATCTTAAATTATGTTATTAAATTGCATATTAATAGAAAAATTAATAGGCGCAGATCAGCAGTTTTTATATTAGACAGTTGTCTTGTTTTTTTTTTTAGTAATTATTGCTTAAATCTGTTGCTTTTCCATTTTTGATAATCATTTTGAGTGTTGCTAACATTCGCTTAAAGAATTTTAATTTTTTACTCATTTATCAAAATTGATTTAATTTAGAAAATTCAACAGATTTTTAATTTGGGAATATGGATCAATATTGTCTTTTTGCAATTGAGGAAATCTCTTTTTTTTTTGTATAAAATTTTTATTATTTTTTTAATTAAATTAGATTAAGAGAAGACAATAAATTTGCAAAATAAAAACTTGTATTTTGTATTTAAGATCAAAATATCTAGCATCTTTATTTGGAAATAAAACAATCAAATATTGAATACATGTTGAATCAAAACACGTCCAATGATTGGTATCTGTTTTTATAAACTAATGATTTTAATTATTATTGTGATTAAAGAAAAAGGTTTTAAATCTAGTGAGCACATCCAAAACATTGATCCTTCAAACTCTTGATAGTCAAAAGAAGTTATATTGGAATTAAATTGGCTAATAGTGTTTACATAGAACAATATTACTACGTGGACGTTTCTTGAATAATCATCGGCAGGACAATTGTCTCATTGACTGTCTTGAAAGTTGTTTAAGACAGTATTCTTGCTCCAGAAGTCAAATTTTGTAACACCTTGTTGATTTATCAGAAAATACAGAGAAAATAAATTGTTTACAACTCTTATTTGATTCTAAAAAAATTGACAGAACATTTAGAATTTTATTCTTCATTTTTACCTCATGTTATTACACTAAATTTGAATCTCAATCCATTATTTTTAATTTTGTTCTTTTTTTTTAAGTTCTTGTACTATTTTTCCTTATTTTGCGCTATTTCGTTTATTTTCCCCATTCTTTTCCCCAGTATTTTATCAAATATCATATTTTGATGTTTGGTGTTTTATTTCCAAATAAGTTCTAGTGTTTGAATTAATATAAAAATGTTGGCATCATTTTCAAAATGACTGTATACAATTTAATAAGCCGGTAACGATTCCTCCTTTTCAATTTGAATTTATATGTGTGGGTTCTCTTAAACTTTTCAATATATCGTTTATAAAACATTAAAGGTAAATGGATTCTAGCAGAGTAGTTGTACAATAATTGTCCACTCTTCGGATCGGTAAAGAAGAAAATAGTGCAGTGTTTTCGTTTGTGTGCCAGCGTGATATGGACCTAAATAAATTAAATTGTAATATATAATGTGCGAACTGTAGTTGAATTTTTCTGGACTAATGTTAACAATTCGTTCGTACAGCCGAAGCTGTATTGAATAATTAAAAAAAAAAATAAAAAATACAACATTCAGTGGGCGACGAACTGTCGTGACTGTGCAAGTGACCGCGATCTCGCAACTTTTGAACTGTAATAACAAATTGGCTACCAAGTATTTAGTTGGACGAACACTGACATATTTGTTTATATCTGTTACAGTTTTACTAATGTTTTTCAATTTTCTAATAACTTGTAGGTGATGATGGTTATGATAAAATAATAATATGAACTGTATGCACCATTTTAAAAATATTTGTTGAGATTACATAGTTTAATATAAGGCTACTAAAACCACATTCTTGCTATGTTCTTATTACATATAATTTAGTGATGGGATTGGTATTTTATGTATAATTTGATTTATTGTAAAATTGTCTAAACATTCTTTTGCAAACCGTTTTTGTTTCTGATTGTATTTTGTTATTTTCAAAAATACAAAGTGATTTAAAAGTTGATTCGTTTCTTCAACTGAGTGTTTCAATAAATAATATTGGTGGTTATTTTCAGGAAAAGATATTTAGGGTGGGCCAAAACTAATTTCTTTTTCACAGCAAGATATATGTATATCAAGAAAGACAATTTAAAAATAATTTCAATTGTACAGGGCTCTTCAGGAAAGTGATTACATACTAAAGTTTAGTTTATTTTTGAATTACTCTTGTTTTTGCTATTCTAACAATATCCGATAGTATAGAATTACAAATGCTATAACCAGTTTTATATGAAAATTGTATTAATTTCAATGATCTTACTGCCGTAAATGCTTAATAAATCAATTTGTGTTATATCCACACAAACAAATTTCAAATTAACCTTAAAATACTTTAAACCGTAATAAATACAACATATTAAAAATAGTAGAAGTAAAACACGGATTTTAAAAATTTTCCTTGACAAAACCTGATCTAAGCTATGACAGAATTGGACTTATTAAAGGTTCGTATTTCCAAAAATTGTATTTTAATAAGAAAATATTCAACTTTTAAATTATTTTAAATAAAATTCTTCAGCTGTATGTTATTAATTAATTCTGTGTACCAAGAAGAACCAATGTCAAAATTGGAAGATATTTTTGTGTTATATTAACGAATTAACCTTTATTTAAAAAGAGAATTGAATGTCAGTGACATATGCCTTTAATATTGGTAGTTTTTTCACCTATAATAATAGAAAAATATAAAAATATCAACCATTTTTTGAACTGATGGAGATTCCTGAATGTATTGAAATCAACTAATTATCCCATCACTAATTTGGCATTTCCACAATATAATCATTTAAAATTATATAGTTAAGTTTTTCTGGAATGAATTTAAAATTTGAATTGCTTTTACAAGTTCACACAAGTAATTTCTATTATATTTTTCAGTAAACTAAATTTAAAATTTTCCTATTGCCTGTCCTCTATTTAAATTTTTATTTTAAATACTATAAAGTAACATATTTTTAAAAGTTTATAACTCCAGAATGGAAAAAGATATCCAAGTGCAGTTTTCGCTGACGTAGTTGCCAAATGTATATTTTTTCCTGAAACTGCCGCAAAATTATATTATTTATAAAAGTCAAGCCAGTTATATTACAAATTTTCAAATCTCAAATCTATAATGTAAAGTTAAAAAATAGAATTTATCATGTTTCTGTTTTATTTTAGCAATAAAATTAGGCAATGAATAATTTAATTAAATCGGTACTAAAAGCTGAAAACATTTATTTAAAACAAATCTGAGACTTGGTTCTATGTTTTAGGAAATAAAAAACTGGTCTTTATAGATCGAATTACATGGGACATATTTAGATTTCCTTTTTACAGTTTTGGCTTTACCTCGAATATAATTTTCACCGTATAACTTACATTGGTTATCTAGCAGGCATGTCAAAATAATAAACTAACTAAAATTTGTCATCTATCTTTAGCAACACAGAAAAGGGACCCCAAAAAAACCGGAATTTATTTATAATAAAGATGGCTTTATACTTAGAGCAGCTTCCTTGTATGTCGTCTGTGACATAACAGTTTATACTGCATTTTTCTCCTCATACATTGTTTCAATCATCAAGAAATAGGTGAGCACTTTATAAGCTGAATAGCTCAGCAATGTCTGCAGGTACATTAATTCAGATGTGAATCTCGAATACGTTATAGCAGTGGAGGTCTGTACTGCAAAAGATCCACTATTTAGAAAATTGTTCCTAGTACACAAAAAAAAATTCCCCATGATAATTTGTGTCAAAATGTTTTGAAGAATTACTTAATAATTTGATAAAGGTTTTTTTTAATTTGTATGACATAGGAAAATCAAAATTTTTGTTTTTAAGACAAATTCTAAATAAATGATTTAATTTTTGATTATGACTAGTCTATTCACCTCTAAGTATTTGCTGATTAAACTGTAGGGCTATTGTTTGTTAATCTGTCAAGTAAACCTACATGTAACTTTACTGAAAGGTGAAAAGATGTGCTCTTGACCTATTAATAATAATTATTCCTATTTAAAGAGGAACAATATACTCAATAGTTTTTTCTTTCGATTTTTGTTTAACGTTGTTTGTATGTATATTGTAAATAATTGTAAAAATGTATATTACCATCCGAAATTCAATAGTTTCGATGTATTTCATAGCAAATTTGTTTAAAATTTTGTGGAGTTATTTACTATGTAATTTGAACATGGCAGGTTTGGTTTTGAAGTAATCTATCTGTACACTGTGCCTAATAAGTTAGACTGATGCACTCGGTGCATTTGTTAGTTATGATTATACTGATTTACGTGTGTGATCCGAAAAGTGGGCGTCTGTTGATAGCGACGTCATTAATAAATCATCAATATTATCTTTAGTTTTGTTAACTTTGTTTTATTACCCTTACCGCCTTATTCACAAAAGATATCTAAAGGTACTTTGTAAGTTACAGATGGGCAAACTTTAATGAATCTCTACTAAAATTGGGCTATATTTCACAATCTGTTACTTAATTACTTGTGTTTTTTAATCAAAATACAATTTTTTTAGATAACATAGGTCTGCAAAAAAACTATTTTGCTGCATAGGATGTTTTTGTAAATTATACATTTTGACATCAATTTCCTTCCATTTTCAAAACATTGAGAGTTTACATTAAAACCTTTTTTTTTTCTCTTTGATGCTCATTCGAACACAATTTTACTTTCCATCTACTGTTTCACTCCTGAACATCTAGTAATCAGTGGCGGCTCGTGGGCACTAGCGGCAGTGGGGCACACACTGGAAAGGAATCCCTGGATTCGTTTTTCCTTTAGGAAAAAAAGTTCTCTGCTTAATGAAAATTAAATATATTTTCAAAACAAATTAAATATTACAAAATTGAAGACTAACTGCTAGGTACCGCTGCAGTTGTATACTATTGTCAAATTATTCTCAAAAAACATTTGTAATAACAGTACGGCCCCATTGTGTTGCACAAAGTCAACTCGGGTGGAAAGAATGGACAGTTCGTTTTTGAATTTTAATCTGTTTACGTTTGGAAATAAACTACACACAGTTTTAACGTCATCATTTGGAAAACAACCTCGGTAGTCTTTTAATTTTTCACTATCAAATAAACTTGCAATTGTTAGGTGGGTAGTAAAACTAAAACGTTTATTTATCTGTACTATTATTGTATCACACATTTCCTTACATATCTTTAAATTAGGAATGGAGTCCTTATTTTCAACAAACTATCTCTTCTTGCTTGTACTTGATTGGGTGTTGTCGTTTAAGTTTAGTTCTTATGGGTCTTGTTGTGATTGCCATTTAATCAAAAAATCATTACATATCCACTCTTGTGAAATTTGCGTAAATTTCTCAGAAGAATGCAATTTAGTTAACAATTCTAACTTGTTAACGCATTTTAAAGCATACGACTCTGAAGAGAAGGTGTTTGGCAATTTAAAATCTCCCAGCGAAATATTTCTCTTTTATATTTTCAAATTAGAAAAAATATTTATATCTTTATTTGATAGTTTGTCAACTAAGCCTGGAATTTCCAACGCATACCTTTTTGAGATGAGCAAAATAGAATTTGGTCATCCTTGCCAACAATTTGCGAAAATGTACACCATTAAATTATTTATAAGAATTTTTTATACTCTTAAATATGCAAACAGAGATTTGAAATCCTCGACAAAACCAAAAGAAAAATTAAAATTTTGTCCCATTTATAAATATTATTTTTTTTCATCATATTTTTGACTGCTTTATAAACAAGTTATTTTTCTTTGTAGTTTTATTTCTTAACTATTCCAATGGTCCAACTAACGTTTTTTGTAATCACAATAAATACATTATTATCATGGTCCAACAAACGCGCACCTTAAGCCGAATCCGGCATCGCCTTTGTGAGGTAGCCGGTAAAGATGCCGCTGCATACATTCGTATCTGGTCTAGGTAATCTGTGCCATGGGTACAGCACGTCACGATGAGGACAGCGCCCCGCTTGTGACGTATAATCTATCGCATGTGTTCATCTCTTGCTAAGCGATATTGTCGTTGTCCTTGTTTTTCGCATCATAATGTGAGAGAAAACAACAGAGGCACACATTTACTGTGCCCATCTTCCACTTAATTACGGAATTCTCGCAACGTCGCTCAACGCCCGGTTGTCCAGTGTCGTGCCAACGCGATTTGCGCTGAATATTAAAATAATAATAGGCATTGAGGAAAATATAAAATATGTAAGTTATTTTTTTTTTTGTTTATTATACTAGGGCACGTGTCCAAATGCCCTTACGGGCAAACCGCCACTGCTAGTAATTAGCTAGCATTTTGACATTCCATCTTCCTTGGTATTGTCTCTCGAAATCAGAGATATCCTGGTGAAATCTTTCACCTTGCTCTTTACTATTGGCTTCTATAAGTTTTCGGGAAAACAGTAAATAAGGTCGTGTCAATATTTTTGCAAGAACACCTGGCGTGATGGAATTTTTTTTAAATGTTTCTTGTTCCTAGTGAGAAAGAATCTATAAGAACCAATCAAAAAATCCCATGTAGTTTTTTGAATGCAGACCTGTGTAATTATTGGTAGAGTTTGTCGGGGATTGCCTATCAAAATATGGCCGAAATTAATTAAAATATATTTTAAACAATTTCGTTCACACAATAAAATGCGGTTGCTTATGTAAAAGTCTCCGCAAATAGGGGTTGATATCTATTAAAAATACATAAGAGCGAGAGAAAGCATACCACACCGTCCATCAGATAAGTTTAAGGTGCTCAACTTTGGGATCGCAATAGGATCGATTTAAAAAAAATATTTAGGTACTAATTTCAATTAATTATGAATGGAAAACAAATTAACAAAGTTTTGATTCGTCTTCAAAAACATAAGCCACTGAAAAATGATTCCCCATTTTTCTACGATGACTATTTGAGATATAGCTAAAAAATCTATGTTACGTACTTACCCAATAACTTGAATAGAAGTTTAAATAATTATCCGACCAATTTAATGAAAGGAAATCTAATAAAAAAAAATACGTAGAATAATAAATTTTATTTGGTAAATACAAACATAGCACAGACTAGAAAAACACTAAAAATTGCCAATATTTATATATCAAATGCGGATATTTAAAGGCACTTTGAATTGACGGTGTAGTTATTCTACGCTATTCATTACAAGAATGGTTTTATTTTTACAAAATCGATAAAAAAAAAAAACAAATCTTCGTACGAGACTCTATTTAACTAAAGTAAATAGTATTAAATATATAAAAAATGAGCTGATTAAAGATTTAATTATGGCACAATTTACGTTTGGCCCCGGTTTGATAAAATATGGAATTTGCTAGAAATTGAGCATATACTATAACCCAAATTCATTAGCGAAAACTATTTTAGTTCCTATAACACTAAAAAAAAACTTAATTTAAAAGTATTCGCAAATTTGTTAAGATTAATGTTTTAAATAACGTATATCATTTGAAATTCTGCAGATCCAATTAAAAAACTAACTTTTTAAATGCACATTAAAGGTACCATTTCGGTAGGCGCGACAGACGACCGCCTACGCGACCGAGAAGTGTCGCTTTACATCTAAAATACATACAATTACATGAAACACATTTCGCACGGCGAGACACTTCCTGGAGACACTTCTGAATCTGACTCGGGGCAAAGGTTTGCTGCCTGTCGCACTCGAGGTCACTATCCTCGAGCATCGCTTCATCGCTTGGACGTGAATAGGTTGAAAATTTCTTTTGATCTAGGCAGTGTTGCCAGATTTTGGAACAGTATGGGTGAAAAAAAAAACACCGTAGATCTGAACAGTAATTTTAATACAGGGGGAAATAATTGAAATTTGCAGTGCAGTAAATAAAAAAACAAGTATATAAAAAACGAAAAATAAACTTTTTTCGACCCAAATTAGAAGGTAAACAAAGAAACACTAATAACATTTTTAATATATACTTAACGTACGGAAACAAAAAAAAAGACAATAAAAAATAATAGGTACCTACTTCTTTTAGATCAGTCTGAATCAGATAATTCAAAATCATAGTGTGCATGTTTTTTTTATGATGCCCTATTAATTCTTTGTTTCATTTTAAATAAAAACAATGATTTTCTTGGTTTTTTTTTTATTGAGCCAACCTAGAGTAGTGTATGCTTATTACGCTGCTTTTACTGCAGAAAATTTAATAGAGAAAATATTCTTTAACCATTTGCTAAAGAATGAGGCAAACTTAATAAATTAAGAACAAAATTTGCTAGAGACAAAAACAGTAGATCTACGTGAAAACAGTAGGTCTGGCAACGTTGATTGTTCCCTCGAATGGTTATCCCTGTAAATGTCGCGCGACACTTCTCAAGCTTGCCAAATGTACGAAGCGTAACATTTATGCATCTGTTTTCCTACTCGACCTTGGGGTCGCTTCACTGGTCGCTTGCCTCCTGACGCGCCTACCCAAATGGTACCTTAATAATGAAATTTGGGATGCATGTGCTCACTTGCTAAGATTAATAGTTTCGTATAGGATATAAGATAAAAAGTAATCGTGATACATTTGTACCGGTATTATTGTTAAATATTTAAATATGTATAAAACAAACGGCTATGCAACTGATAACAAGATGAAGGACCAATTATTAACAAAATCTTATTTATAGCAAATTTGACTGAATTTTTGAATAAGAGATATTGGCTAGAAAGAAAAAACAAACTGGTCCTTTTCCAAATAAACAGTGAGAGCTTTAAAGTTGAACGAGATATGAGTCTGTAACATTGAGTTCTCTCTATTACTATCATAGTAAAGATTGCTTGCGTTCTGCTTAATTGAGCCATGTAAAACTCTAAATATCCACCAAAGAAACGATTTGTTGAAAGGATAACTGATTTTGTAGCACTAATCTGGTGTTTTTTTAGATAGATCTCGTAGATACAGGAAAAAGTTAAAAGCTATTTAAAGATAGAAGGAGATGAAAAATATTCATCGAAACCTAAAGGTGATGTATATGGTTTTTTTAAGATGAAGTAATATAAACCTCGAAAACAGAAGAGATACAAAGTTATTTAACTTGCTTACTGCATAATTTTGGTCCTTCACTATTATAATCCGTAATATGTTGATGAATTTTTTTTAATTTCGGTACAGATGTATCAAGAAAGTAACATACTTGCAAAATAATTTAAAAAAAAAATGATAGCGATCGATTTCGCTCAAAATTGTATTCTGTATTTATTCGTAGTCGAATCTGTAGAACATTTACTATCTCGTCCTAATGAGGAGCCCCTTCGCAACGAACCGCCCCCGTATAATCTAACTTTGGAAGAACTAGCTGAATTATCACTGAGTGTGGATGCGGAATCCCTTTCACCCCCCGCCGAACTACTTCTTAACCTTCCGTATTCCCCAAGTTTCCTTGGGGGCGGGATTAGAGATCTTGCCGGAGAAGCTCTGCGACTGCTGCTGTTTGAACTTAACGAGTCGCCTCCATCTGACTTCTTTTCGTTGTCGGGCAATCTATTGTATTCCCCGAGTCGCCGGGGAAGACCGGACCGCAGCGATGACCTTTGTGGACGAGGCAAAGAACTAGGCAAGGCAGGGGGTTTTTGGGACGCTTGCGCATGGTGCACACCGTCTGACATGCGTTGTTGTTGAGACGTGCGCCCTTGCTTTTCCAACAAAAGCATCTCACCGGATTCATGAGAATGGCCGTGACGTGGCGAGGGGGGCAGCAAGAAGGGGCCCTGACTCTCGTAACTAGTCGTCACACTTGCCAATAGTGGTTTGGGTATTTTTCCTTTTCTCTGCGCAGTGACTGGATTAGTGAATCCTGGAAAACAGCAAAGTGCCCGCTGAAATAGGAAGAGAAAGCCAGAATTGGGATGTGTCCCCGGGACCCTACTGAAAGATGGGTTAGTCACACGGCAACGGCAACTTGGCCACAACGCCATGCTAAGGAGCTTCATGGATCGGGTATATCGGTCGGGAATAGAAGGAAATGATTTTTAATTGCACGATTATTTATGAAAATGGATTCTAGAGTTAAATATTATGTCATTATGGAACAAAGGTCAATACATTATTTAAATTTATACAATCGGTATTATTGTTTATTATTAAGTCGACAACATAACACAAGCGTGCAAAAAAAAATTGTGATCAAGCCGTTTTAACTTTTTTTTGCTTAATTTAGACTTATATTTAACTAAACTAACCCAATTTGTGCTTCCATCTCGTAAATTTGTTTTGTAAACCAATATTGAGATATCTCTGAGTATTCGCAGCAAACTAAATTCCTTCTTTTTGTTCAAAATTTTGAGACACTCTGTACAACATCGTTTTAAATTGCACATATGTTGTAGAATTTACCATTAGCATCTACAGTCGAGAATTTCCAGGTTTGGGCAAACTCGATTTATTTAGAAGTAACAAAGCTTTGAGAGAAATATAATTTAGTGTAAATATGGGACTCAAACAGATGTTATCTAGTTCTATATCTGTGGTTTGTTGCGTACTTTCTATAAAAAATGCCTAGTAGGTGTTGCAAAAATAGGCCCGATGATTTTTATTATATTTTTAAATAATTCATAGTGAAAAATTTAAAAAGAAACATTACTGATTTTGTAGAAAAATGCATATTTGGTTTATTATAAAGTAAAACTTTGAGATCAAGATAAACTGTAGGTCCCACATACTGCAAGCCTTGAGGCATTGGTTTAAAGGAAAAAGAAAATCCTTGTTGTTTGAAATCCCAATGGTCTGAAGAGAACTGAGAAATCACAAAAACGAATGCTATGGTCATAACACAATAACTTAAATATCCAATACCAGTTGAAAATTTTTACAAAATATTAAATCGCAGGCATGTGTTATTATTAAAATTAAAATATATTTATATAATAAAGAACGTATTGATCTTTGTTGTATTTGTAGCACAGTGTAAATTATATCCATTGACTAAAAGTTATACATATATTAAAAATAGTTTCATAAAATATAAAATGCTTGAAGAGACATTGTTTGAATCAATCTTATATTAAATATAATTTAAAAGGTTATTTTCGATTTCACTACTGTCCTACCTATACATTTCGTATTCTGTTGATATTTATCTTGTCAGTAAAGGCAGGCAAGGTCCTCAAGAAGTTGCTTTCGAGTAAAATTGTTTGCGACAAAAAAAATGCCATTAAAAAGAAAAGGCAAAGTATATAAGACATCGGTTAGGCCAGCCGTGTTATAAGCAACATAATGTTGGGACGACAATGAAAAAGCAAGAGCAAAAGTTACATGTCTTTGAAATGTGCATGGTTAGGTAGATATGGTGCAGATACCATTACAAATTGAGTTTGATGATTTTCTCATAGAACTAATTATTAGATCCTAGACAAATTTATACGGAACCACCCCTGAAGTACCCAAAAAAAGAAGCATAGTAATCGGAAAACCTGCTAAAGAATTATCGCTGAACGTACATAAAAAAATATTCTGACGAATTGAAGTCTGTTAAAAATAAAAACAAAAACAGGGTGTATAGTAAAAAACTGTTTTTGTTGAGGATAACCTTTGATTGCAACAGGGGTATCTTTTGGAGGGGATTATTTGAAATATAGCTTCTCCATTTTGCTAAGTACAATGTTCACATTTGCTTGTGATATCCACAAGATAACATTGTCTTTATACCCTTACAGTTCAGCCAAGAAAAAAAAATTCCTAACAAAGTATAAAAGAGGAGTAGATTTAACAAAACTTAAGTTCAGAAATAATAAGGATTACCAACTATTCAATTAATAAATATGCTTATACCTATTTAATATTATTATAAATTACTTGAGAACAAATTAAAATATCTTTTATTTTTTTTTTAAAGTAAAATTTATAAAAATTATATCAAAAAATTATAGCGAGCGAAAAATAAAGAAGAAACGTTTACGTATTTGGAAAAGAATAATTTCAAACTAATAGAATTCTTCTTCTTTGGGTTTTAACTATTTTAAATAAAGAAAAAAATAATTTTATGATTCAAAATTGCTACAATGGACTACACACATTTGCACTACCATAATTTATGACATTCCATTTTCATTCTAAAGAAGGGTGAAAGGAATTAGAAGATATTAATGATATGCAAAACAAAAAGAAAAAACTTTTTATTCGAATCTCATCATGCTGCCATACAACACTAGCAAATAAAAAAAAAGCTTCTTGTAATTGCGTTTCGTCTTAAAAAAAAGCAAAAACAATGAATTTGATGAAATCGTTTTAAAAAAATGATATATTCGAGATTTAAATACATCTTCTATTTAAGTAGATCTTCAAAACATAAAGACCGAATTGGAATTATATCATTTCCTTAAAAAAATAAAATGCAATTACACGTTTCTTAAAAAAAAAAACACAAAACTTTCAACATAATAAAAACAAACTGCGAAATAAAAAAAAACTGACTCACTGTTCAACTGTATATGTTCATAATAGAATATAATCTAAAATTATCTACACATATTCTGTACAATGAATTCACTAATCTTTATCAATTATTATTTAAAATTAAAATAGTTTGCGACTTTCGATTTTAAGAATATGGTATTGTATTTAAATGCTATATTACTAATTATTAAGTATAAAAAATCGAAATATTGGTTTCTACTTCATAGATATATAAATAAAAAACCTAATTATACTCTAACATGTTTACTTTGGTCTGATTCCTAATCTAACGGGTTGTAAGGTTTGTATTCATAAGCAGAAATAAGTATAACAATAAAACTGTACATTTTTTACTTAAAATAAAGGAGGGTTTTTCATTTAACATTTTTAAAATAACAATTCATTGCTAAGCTACCCCAGCAAACATTTTGGTGTAATTTGACGTCGATACTACCTAAATTATATATAATAAATTTGGTCGCAAAATAAGATTTAACCATAATTAAGTAAAATTTACGTTGGCTCGACGTGGATTCAACATAAGTGGAGAATAAGACGACGTCGAAATTTGGTTTTATTTACCAAAATAATTTATCTGAAAATCAAAATATTTTTTACGAAAATCTAAAGTCAATTATTATTTCTATTAAATAAAATCGAAAACGGAATAATTTAATCAAATAAAACTGGTATTCGAACGTTTAGCTCAAGAACCGACGACAGAGAAAAAAAAAACGTAAACATGAATTCGGTGTACCTAACTACGGTCTCTGCAATAATATTACGGCGTATAACGAAGCAGACTTAACGAGGTCGGAAAAATGGAATCAAGCTAGTCGAGATCAGTAAAGTGAATGAATGATTTTTAATACTCAAATGCTGAATCCGAGTCTCTATGCTCAAGCAGGCTAGCTCCCCACTCGATGTGCGCGGATCGCGCGCGCTATCGTTACTCAGGTATAATACGCGAATTTAAATGAAACAAAATTTGATATGAAGTTAAAATAAAAATTAAAATTTATATCCGGAATAGGCCGAAATATAGTAATGAAAATTGACTTCATTACAAATTACATCTAAATCGACATTGTAGTAGCCCACTACGTTTGGTTAGTAATACCTCTCTAGGGAAATTTGACGTCAGTATAATGTTAATTCGACGTTGATTTAACTAAGTTTAGGTAGACACTACCAAAATATTTGCAGATGACGTATGCCTCCAAGTGTACTTATTTGGTATTTTTATCTATATATAAGTAGAAATATTGCAAGAAGTCACCAACGCAAACTAAAACATATACCTAATTCACATGGATGGAAGATTGAAAATAAATAAATGTCGGTGACAAAAATATATGTAATGTAATTGCGGTGAATATACAGTTCACGCTTGTTGAAATTAATGCGAAGACAATTTTGTCGTGCATGTTAACAGTTCTACTTAGAAAAATAACAATGCCCTTCCAAAATACTCTCTAATTAAAAAATATGATCGTGTAAAAAAATAATAATATTATGAGCTAAAACTATGTTACGTTTGTTGTGTATCACTTTAGAAAATCAATAATGTTTCGTTTTTCGGTATTTTCATTCGTATGTTCTAGTTATGGTCATTTTAAAAATTTAAAATTTGGAATCGTACTTCAATTACATTAAAAAAATATGGCCCGGTCCTGAATAATTCGTGAAATAGTGAATCAAATTCAGCTCCTGATAAATTTCATTTTATGTGTGGTAAATAGTTAGTTAATAATTGTGTTTACCTATACATCAAACCTTTATAGTATACTACATCATATACTGTAAGTATAACTTAATTATCAAGCAGCGACTTTCTACAGCAATTATTGTTAACCTGCATGGTATCGGAATCGAAGGGAAAAAAACGGGCAAATTACTCTGCTTATCAAATTAATCGCAAAGTCTATCTGCGATATGGTCATTGCCGATTTGAGTGCAGGTCCGTACTTAGGTTTAAGTCAGTGTTCCGAATATTAAAACTATGTTAAGCACTCCATCTGGGTCTTCTGACTACAGGAGATCCCTGAACGAAAACACTATTAAGTCTTACTCTTCTGCGCTTACTCAACATCATTATCCAACCAAAGAACAGGCAATCATATTTCCAGCTATCGATAATACAAAAATTCAAGAATATTTAGTTCCACTTGGAGCTATTATTGAACCTAAAAACATCCTATTCTCCTCACGACTATCTAATAATAGAGTATGTATGTACCTAGCAAGCAAAGATATTGTCGAAAAATTTATCAATGATCATCGGGGCGTTATTATAATAAATAACGAGACAATTCAAGCTCGCAAATTAATAACACCATCAACACGCCTCGTTTTATCTAACGTATGCCCAACTATCCCTCACACAGTATTGACCGAACAGTTAGAAAAAATGAGTCTAAAATTG